AATATTTTTGTTCAAAATAAAAATTCTGTTTGGTTTGGAAACTTTTTTCTGCAGAATCTTTCCTACTTTCTGAAAGGTTTCACATCGATATGTATAAGGATATCTACTCGATATAAAGCAATATTTATTAATACTTATTTTAACTCAAACTCTGAACTAAATGAATATAGAAAAAATATGCCAGTTTAAAAAAGTTTTTGATAGATATTTGTAATCATCCAGAACAAAAAGTTTTATCAAAATTAAACTTTTTTAGGTATATTGGACGTTTTCAAAAAAATGCAAAAAAAAATCATTTCTGACACTCCTAGGCTTAGTACGTCAATATAATTCACCAAAACCATACTGCAGTCCTTCAATTATCATACAGGGAAATTTTCATCTTTCTAAACATCCCAACGAAAGATTTGACAGGTTCTTTACCTGATAGTATTTTGAAAACATAGAACATGCAAAGTTTCTGAAAAAAAATTTTAAAATGAATTTGTTCTGATCAATTGGGGTTTTTAGAGATTTATCTTCCCTTTCTTCTTTTTTCCTCTCTATTTTTCAATACGTTTTCATTTAGTTACCCCTGTATAATTTTTTCCTCTCTATTCTTCAATACGTTTTCCTCTATCTACTCCTTTATAATCTTTTCCTCTCTATTCTTCAATACGTTTTCCTCTATCTACTCCTTTATAATCTTTTCCTTTCTATTCTTCAATACGTTTTCCTCTACCTACTCCTTTATAATCTTTTCCTCTCTATTTTTTAATACGTTTTGCTCTGTTTACCCCTGTATAATCTTTTCCTCTCTATTCAACACGTTTTTCTCTATCTATCCCTTTAGAGAGTTCCTGACTAAATTGAGATGTAAAAATAGCCATGGAATGATTAAAATAACAGATAGGACACTGAATGTCGTCTTTTCAAGATTTTATGTATTTTTCGTTCACAATAACCCTAAGGCTGAAGCTCAAAAGAGTTACGCGGAGTCGGCATAGAACAGGCTCGATCTTTCTCTGTCTTGTAATTCTACAGAGAGAGAGCCTGTTCTGCGCCGATTGCGGGTAACTCCTTTGGGATTCTGCCTCTGGATTACTGTAAACGAAAAACGAACATCCTTAAAAGACGACATTCAGTGTCCTATCTCTGTTATTTTAATCAATCTTTGGTAAAAGTTTTAAGTTAAATATATCTGTCAATCCAACTATATATCTATCTATCTATCTATCTATCTATCTATCTATATTTATTTATCTATCTATATATCTATATTTCTATCTATAAACTATCTATTTTTACCAAAATATATTATCAAGTACTTGATAATCTGGTTTTACCTGTGATATCTTTAATATTCTCTGAATTTTGTAGCATATCATCCAACCCACGGGTTAAAGACTCACCTGGTATAAAATACTTAATAAAAATGTACTATGACTTTTGTTACTGCGGATTACAAAGATTAGCAAAAATTAGCTTAAAACCTGAATCTGATTAATATTTTTAATTCTATTCGATTTTTTTATTTGATCTAAAACATTGATCATGAACTCCAGTTTTTCCCTGGAGATATTTTTATCATTTTTTTTTCAAAAAAGATTATCAAATACTTGTTTTTGCATCATTCATTGATTATGAACTCCAGTTTTTCCCTGGAGATATTTTTATCATTTTTTTTCAAAAAAGATTATCAAATACTTGTTTTTGCATCATTTAAGTAATTATAAGTATAAGTGTAAACCTATTTAGCAGTTTTTTGAAAAAAGCTTAAATCCATCTTTCAAGTAATATGAGAGATATGGTTTTAAAAAATTTAGATTTTTGTATAGTTAAATTTTGATCTTTGCTTTTGTACAAATTATTGAAAGTCAAAATAAATCGTCAAAAAAAATTAAGATGGGCGTCTTTCTTGGAACATTTAAATCGTAAAAATTCTTTAAAAATGAAACAAATTATATGAATTTTTGATGAAACAGTTTCACCCTTAACAGTATTTCATTTATTTAATACTTTGTCTCTACTCTCTAGCACTAAAATTCACTGTCTTCAGCACTGGTTACAGCATAGAAAAATTAAAATAAAGTGAGTATTCATTATTTAGATTCTTTCATAAAAAAATGCCTAAAGTATTTTGAAGTATGGAAGTAGGCAGTAGGAAGTAGGAAGAGGAAGTATGGAAGTAGGACATCCTTCATTTAATGAGATATTAAAAAAAATCAAAAAAATGTATGTTTTATCACTTTAAAAATGGAATTAATTGGCTTACATTTTTTGTTATATCTCAATTTTTGGTTGAATTTTTATGAAATTTTGGAAAACAATAGAATGAACATTTAAACAAAAAAAAATTAATTCTATTTTTTCAAAAATATTTGGTTTCGCGGATTTTTTTCAATTTTTCCTGAAATATTTTAGAATTTATTTTTATCACATTTTATTTTTGTAATGCCTAAAAAACGAACACCCCAACAATTATGCATATACTTACATAATCTACAATTGCTAACTGTTTGATCCATTCTTTCTAGTTTATGAGGACTGTTACAACACAAATAAATCGATTGTTAAAGGGACTGTAAACGTAATTTCAAGCGACCCACAGTAATAAATTTTATCAATTATAAATCAAAGGGACTGTAAAGGAAAAATGAAAGGGGTTATAGGCTGAAACCTGAGATTCTCAGGATATAGTTTATTGAGACATATAAGAATTCTATCTGAAGTTCATGTTCCGAGAAATTGACACAGTTTTATGTCAATTTCTCGAGACAGGAACATCAGATAGATGTCTTATACGTATCGTTCAACTCCCAAGATTCTCAGGTTTCAGTATATACCCCCTCTCAGTCCCTTTACAGTCCCTTTAAAACTGATTGATTTTATTTGTGGTTTCTATACACAAGTGACATGCACATTTCTTGCTTCAGAGACAATGGAGAAATATCAGAATGAAACACTTTTCAAGATAGAAAAATTATTTTTTTCTTTTACATTGTTGATTATATGACGGTCAAGAGGGTACCGTTGTGAATCGAACACTTAAAATTTGGTTCACTGCCCCTTTAAAACATTGGGCAACCTTTCTAATATAAAATATATTTCAAAGAGAGAAAAAATGCAATCAATATCATTTTCGGAATCATAAGAGTTGGTTAGCAACTTTACCCAGACCATGATTGTTTTTTGAACGTTGTAAATGTAATTTCATTTGACCACCCTTTATAACGTATATCCCTTTAAATCTTTGTGTGGCCATCAAAGGCGAAGAAAATCTTTTTTTTAAATGAATAGGAAAACCACAACGGGAAAATTGGAATGTAAGTATACACTGTGCATTATAGTTTGAACTCAATTATTAGCTTTTATGAAAAATCAATTATGTTTAAAAACTTGCAAGAATTAATTTAAATAAATATTTATTTAGTTTTTCGTGGCCATGGAAAATATTTTGATATAATTTTATTTGTTCCTGTTCTTCAGTATATTTGATATTTCCATCGCTTGACAGATCTCAACTAATGTCGTCAGACTGAATTCATTGTTTAGGTAATTATTCTTTATATTTTAATTACAATAAATCCCACATACAGGGTGTCCCAATAAACATGGGAATTCAATGACGAATTCGATATCGTCTTTTTAAATAATTCTTTGATTTAGTATAGTGATACCTACTGAGAAAGCAGTAATCTCTAAGAGTTTCGTAGCTGCTATGTTCACATTTTGTTTGTTTATGTTTTGATTGCATACGGTTGTACTTAGTAAAACAAGAAAATTACAGTATACAAACAGAGTAAACTTATTCGTCTTCACTGTTCATCTTGCGGAGACATTATAGACACATCTTTACAGTCTTTTACCCTTTTCATAAAATAAACTCTAGCAGACATAATAATATTATGGCTTTTGAAATTAGGTATTACAATTCTAATTCATAACAAAGACGATATCCAATTCGTCACTGAATTCCCATGTTTTTTGGGACATCCTGTATATGAATACATAGCAAGAGTTTTTATAATGTCGTATTACATACAGGGTGTCCCACGAAACATGACATTAGTAAATAGTTTTTAATGTCGTCTTCCATACACAACACTGTATTAAATATTAAAGGCTGTTTGCAGTTTATTTCGTTTAAAAAATCTTTTGCTTCCATATATTTTACTTTGAAGTTAATTTTACTATATGACTCTTTTATAATATTGTCATATTCCTGGGCTATTAATTTACCTTGAATTAAAATAAAAAGATAGATATCCATAATTTGAAAACTGAAATTAGGAATTTTTCTCCGTTTTCAATTTACAGAATCTCTTTAAAATTCGAAATTTTAGTCTGAATACTTAATCTTTATTATAGCGCCATTTTTGAAGACTTGTACGAGACCTGCAAAATGTGAAATCAAAGACGACATACTAATAGTCTCTCAATAATCTACAGTCGTCGTCGCATAAATAAATACAATGAAGACGACTTTCGACTTCAATTTCAATTTATATTAAGTTGTTAAATAGCATGGATGCACATAAACATAGAAGTCAAGAGAAGCTATCAATTAAAAAAGCGTATCTTTGCTTACTTCCAAACTTGTAAATACGTTTTATTTCGAATAGGACGAAACAACTAAAATGGATATTACATATTTATAAATCTATTGTTTTTTATTGTTATTTAATCACTTTTCCAAAAATGAATTTACCAAAATATGAACTTCATGATATTTTTCATGAAGGTTTGTTGCCAACTGCAGTAAATTAAATCTTATCATATTTAAGATTTGATTGGATAACAATTTTGATAGAGCTAACAAAAACAATTTGATAATGACTGCACAGGAACAAAGAATGCCTATTTTCGCTTTTTCCCAAATACATATTACACATATATATTCAGAAAACACATACAGGGTTACCCACAAGGGATAAGACAATAAAGACGACCTAAAACTCTTAATATGACGATTCCAAGATTAAGTTAAGTCTTCCGCCTTGATAAGTCCAATAATGGCATAAATGATTTTGCAAAGAAAGAAGCAAATTATAGTTGCAGAGAATTAGGAAGACTAGAAATTCCTGTTACGCGACGTTTTCGTCACGTTCTGTTTTCCCTCGCTCCTGAATGCCCTGGAGTAAAGTTGTGAAGCCCCTACGGACGGAGGAGATTATGAGTTTGTACTTCAACAACGGTTTTGATTTGTAAACTTAGAATTAGAACCATGCTGTACATATATTTTCTAGTCAGTTAAACTTTGATAATGGTTATATTATTTATATCTATGATAAATACCGAGTTGTGACTTTGCATAAGGCAAATTTACGATTTATATTGTATTGTTATCGGAGCTTATTTAGAAATATCGCACTTTGTAGCTTGTGAATATATGGTTTAAACTGAGATTTGAGCTTATTGAAAAATATCGCATTTTTAGCTTTTAGCTATCAGAATTTTATAGTCCTGAATTTAACAAACATTTATATTTATTCTGTATTTCATTAATGTTCCAGTAAAATGATGAATCTGTATTTTTACTTTATTTTATGATTAAATGTGTTTATACGCAAAATATTTTTAGAAAGATCTAAAAGAAGTATATTTGAGTCGAGAGTTTCTGCGGCTTGTGAGAAGTCCTAATCAACCTAAGAAGAGCATGACTAGGTTCGATAACAAAGTATCTAGATATTTTGAACCTCAGGATAACCTGGCTGAACAATTTGGTACTGTCGTCTCTCTTAAGTCTCATCTTTTATGAGTCAACCTGTAAAGTCTTAAAAACCAAAAAATTGCGGAATTAAGGTCGTCTTTATTAAGTTTAGAAACGTCCATTAAAATTTTTAATTTGTTAACGATCTGAAAATGGCCTAAAATATGTTAACCGAAATTTTCCTGCCATCACTGTTGTTACGAGTCACCAAATCTTAAGATGTAATTTAACAAAGACGACTTTGAGACTGTTTTACACTGGCAGGTGTCGTGCATCAGTTAACCCAGTTAACCTCTCCCCTCCTCTCGTGTCTTTAATCCATTTTAGCACACAATGTTAGACATTAAACGCAATTTTAAGAGAATTGTTGATTATTATTAATGTATTTTGATTAGAAATAACATAAAAAAGAATCAATGTCTCGGCTTAATATTGATTGTTTGATAATTTGAAATGAAAACAACATTTGAGAGGAAATAACCTTCTTTGCGCTTTCCTTCTTTAATATTACATTTTAGAATTTAATTCGCATTTTATTATGTTAATATATAATTTCTAATGGTTTATCAATTGCTCTTGATGTTCAATATTGTGTTGAAATGGTTAAAACTTAAAGGAGAGATGAATTGTCGCAGGCAAAGAGAACAGAATATATATTAGATTGGAATTTAGAAAATCCCTCGGTATGAATTTGTTCAGTCCCTTTCAGCCTGAAAGGGAGTTCAAAGTGTACAATTCATGTAAATGTTCACACATTATATGCAGTAGAGTACATTAATACAGTGTGTTCCCTAGACTATACTATTTCAATTTCGAATTTAAAGCTGTTAAATAAACTTTATAAAATGAATTAGGTGAATAAAAAACATCATTTTATTTATAGTTATAACGGAAAATCATCGTTTGTAAAGTGATAGGCATAGAGTCTATGTTAAATGATCCTTGGGTAATATTCCACTCTAATATATATTTGTGAACCAAACAAAAGGATATAGGCTCGAAATGGAGATAAATAGGAGCTAAAGCAATGCAACTCGAAGCAGGAGGTAGGAGAATAAAAGTAAGAACGGGATATATATTCTCCAAGGTAAAGGCGCTTCTCAAGAATTACAAACTCTAGGCGGAGTCCCACACATATACGTAGACGATAACTTCTGGTGAAATATATTTCAGTAACGAGGTTTCCTACAAAATACAGATTGTTATTGACGAACAAATGTGAATAATAATTGTTAATAAAATGTAACTATTTGATTGACGAACAAATGTGAGTAATAATTGTTAATAAAATGTAACTATTTGATTGACGAACAAATGTGAATAAAATGTAACTATTTGATTACAACTAATTAAATGTTTATTGAAACTGATAAATAGGAATTTTAAAGGAAAGGTTCTGTTGTGAATCGACCAAGAAATATTTTAAGGTACTGATGGGAATTAATAAATGAAATATTTTAAATGGGTACTATTGTGAATCAAACATGAACTTACGATCTATTGTCGTATAGTACGGGAATAGTGGTTGGAATCGGAGTCTAAACTATTCAATTTCTGAAAAAAAATATTCATTTGGTAAAAAATTAATTCACTATTAGTTTAGTTTGCAAAATGATTCACTGAATTTTAAGCGTAAATTGTTTCTATTTTTTTACGAATTTAAATCTTATTGTTGCACGAGGATTTTGTTTACGTTTATGCAGAAACCTTGAACAGTATTTGGTTTGGAGAAGAAAGTGGACGGAGGTCTGACGGAGATGTAGTTTGTCAAAGACGACTTTTACAACAGGGTAGTTTATGGGATATGGTTCACAATATTCAATTCTCTTTGCTCGCAGGTGAGTTCAAGGTTCTTAGGTTAGTTACTCAGGATGCGCTCCAATGTACGGGAAATGTCGTCTCCTTAGTAAAGATAAAAAGAATCTGCATATGATGTCACTGATTATTTATGCTAAGGAGACGACATTTTCCGTTTTTGAAGCGCATTCAGAGTAACCAAATAGATTATCAAGTACAATAGGTGGCAACATAAAAAATGGATCAATTATACAAGACGTCACAAGTGTCAAATATAACAAAGAAAACGAAATTTTCTCACATTACTTGATATGCTTTTCAAGATGAAATAAAAAAGTGTAAAAACAGAAAATAAGTAACACGTAAAATTGCACCTTTTTCCACTGAAAGATAAGCTCTTTATTCACTATTTATTCACTATTATCACTATTTTTGATAATTTTGTCGGACACAATTCTGAGTTGACATTTGTGACGTAAGAATACAGCTGTACTGCCTACTGAGAGTGTATAAATTCTACGTTGCCATCTATTGTACTTAACAATCTAATTGGATTAAATAACCTTATTAAAAAAAACTTGGATCAGCATGGGATGATCATGCTTACTGTTGTAAAAATGGTAAAGTTATTGATCCTAGAACAACTAAAGTACACAAAGCAATCTTTTTATTTCAAAACATTTTTATACAGTGGTAGGGGATAATTTCAATACAATGAAGACGACTTTCCATTTAAATGTTTATTCAAATCAAGCTCTTAAACAGCATGGCATAAACATGAACCTAGAAGTCAAGAGAAGCTGTCAATTAAAAAGATAATCATTTATCACATATTACTTGTAAACTTGTAATTTTAAAAAAGGCTTGTAAACAATCAAAACTTTAATAAAACAGTCGTTTTATGAACAATTTCATAAACAGTTAAATAAACAATTTCATGAACATTTTTATTAGCAATTTTATCCATCTTTTGAAAACATTTTTAAAAAGTTTGACATTTTTAAAAAGTGCTGAAGCTCTCTTCTTAAGATGTGGAATAACCTGCCTATTGACTTAAAAAAAGCAACTCTCTAAGTATATTTAAAAATAGACTACTAAATTCTCTTTTTAAAAATTACATTACAATGTGTTAAAAACCGAATTGCTATTTATGTAAAACTCATTAGATATGTTTTAATATGCTTTGATATTTGTTGTGTACATGCCAGAAAATTACTTAAAACTCTAGTTATTCTAATTAATGTATTATTTATTTTGCATAAGATAAAATCGCACCCTGATCTCTAATAGTTCTCCTTAAATCAATTTAATTGAAATGTGTCGTTATCATTATAAAAATTAAGTAGAAAAAATAATCAAAACAGCCGAGAGCTATTTTCCACCTAATTGCTTTATACTTGTACTGTTAATATAATCATCAATTTGTAGTTGTAAACAGATACATGTATTTTAGCGATTAATCTTATCTTATCTTATAAACCGTTAAATGAACAATTTCAAAAACTGTTAAATAAACAATTTCATAAACCGTTAAATAGACAATTTCATAAACAGATAATTGAACTATTTCATCAACAGTTAAATGAACAGTTTCATAAACAGTTAAATTAACTATTTCATAAACAGTTAAATGAACAGTTTCATAAACAGTTAAATGAACAGTTTCATAAACAGTTAAATGAACAGTTTCATAAATAGTTAAATGAACTGTTTCCTGGAAATATATTCCTGGAAGTGATAAATGGCATCTTTTGAGATATTTACAACAAAATTATACTGAAAACCTTTTATTTTAATTTTTTACATTTTCATAAAAAAATGTTTAATTTTGAAATGGACGAAATTTATCTTTGTTCTCCTCGAAAAAAACTTTCAGATCAGAAATCCTCCACAAGGCAAGATGTTGGTTTCTAGAAAAAAAGGAAATAAAGTTTTCTTTTTCCTGTAATATTGTTCTATATTGTCATGTTCAAACGTATAAAAAAGTCATTAAATTATTTTAATGTGTTCTTTAAAAAAAAAAGAAGTTTTGAATGATGTAGAATTGGTATTTTTATTAAAGATTACTTACTCTGCTGGTGCGTCCTTATTCGTGAAAATATGAAAATTACTTGCTCTGCTGGTGCGTCCTTTCATGAAAATATGAGGATTACTTACTCTGCTGGTGCGTCCTTATTCATGAAAATATGAGGATTACTTACTCTGCTGGTGCGTCCTTATTCATGAAAATATGAGTATTACTTACTCTGCTGGTGCGTCCTTATTCATGAAAATATGAAGATTACTTACTCTGCTGGTGCGTCCTTATTCATCAAAATATGAAGATTACTTACTCTGCTGGTGCGTCCTTATTCATCAAAATATGAGTATTACTTACTCTGCTGGTGCGTCCTTATTCATGAAAATATGAAGATTACTTACTCTGCTGGTGCGTCCTTATTCATCAAAATATGAAGATTACTTACTCTGCTGGTGCGTCCTTATTCATCAAAATATGACGATTACTAACTCTGCTGGTGCGTCCTTATTCATAAAAATTTGAAGATTACGTACTCTGTTGGTGCGTCCTTATTGATGAAAATATGAAGATTACTTACTCTGCTAGTGCGTCATTATTGATGAAAATATGAAGAATACTTACTCTGTTAGTGCGTCGTTATTGATAAAACATGAAGATTACTTACTCTGCTGGTGCGTCCTCATTTATACAGATTGGTGTCGGGAAATGGAATGGATACAAGTGAAGATTAACCTGATGGAAACTAAAACAAACAAATATTTTTGAGTAATTTTTCATCTTTTTAAACACAGAATACTCTTAAGTTTATTAAACCGACTGGGAAACAATTTACTTTATTAATCCAACTGACAAATTATTTACATTATTAAACCAACTGACAAACTATTTACTTTATTAAACCAACTAACAAACTTGTACTTTATTAAACCAACTGACAAATTATTTACTTTATTAAACCAACTAACAAACTTTTTACTTTATTGAACCAACTGACAAACTATTTACTTTATTAAACCAACTGACAAACTATTTAAATTATTAAACCAACTGACAAATTATTTACATTATTAAGCAACTGACAAACTATTTACTTTATTAAACCAACTGACAAACTTCTACTTTATTGATCCAACTGACAAACTATTTGATTTATTAAACCAACTGAGAAACTTCTACTTTATTGATTAAACTGACAAACTATTTACTTTATTAAACCAACTGAGAAACTTCTTCTTTCTTGATCCAACTGAAAAACTATTTACTTTATTAAACCAACTGAGAAACTTCTACTTTATTGATCCAACTGACAAACTATTTACTTTATTAAACCAACCGACAAACTATTTACTTTTTAAAGCAACTGACAAACTTCTACTTTCTTGATCCAACTGACAAACTATTTACATTATTAAACCAACTGACAAATTATTTACTTTATTGATCCACCTAACAAACTATTTACTTTATTGAACCAACTGACAAACTTTTTACTTTATTAAACCAACTGACAAACTTTTTACTTTATTAAACCAACTGACAAACTTGTACTTTATTGAACCAATCGACAAACTTCTACTTTAATAAACCCACTGACAAACTATTTACTTTATTAAACCAACTGACAAACTATTTACTTTATTTAACCGACAAAGAAACTTTTCACTTTATTAAACCGATTTTTTTACTTTTTCAAACCAACTGACAAACTATTTCAATATTCTGAAAAATTAAATATTTCACCTCCTGCCAGAAACTTCTTGGTTTGAATATTTCAGGGGGTCGTTTACAGTAACATCAGGAAATGTCGTCGTAATTAAATATTTAGATCCGCTCTGCATCATGTTATAAAACATCTAAATATGTTTTAAATATTTTAAACTAAATATTTAAATATGCTCTGTATCATGTTATAAAACATCTAGATATGTTAAAATATTTTAAACTAAATATTTAAATATGCTCTGTATCATGTTATAAAACATCTAGATATGTTAAAATATTTTAAACTAAATATTTAAATATGCTCTGTANTAGATCCGCTCTGCATCATGTTACGGAACATCTAAATATGTTTTAAATATTCTAAACTAAATATTTAGATCCGCTCTGCATCATGTTATGAAACATCTAAATATGCTTTAAATATTTTAAACTAAATATTTAAATATGCTCTGCATCATGTTACGGAACATCTAAATATGTTTTAAATATTTTAAACTAAATATTTAGATACGCTCTGCATCATGTTATGAAACATCTAAATATGCTTTAAATATTCTAAACTAAATATTTAAATATGCTCTGCATCATGTTACGGAACATCTAAATATGTTTTAAATATTTTAAACTAAATATTTTAATATGCTCTATATCATGTTATAAAACATCTAAATATGTTTTAAATATTTTAAACTAAATATTTAAACTAGATCCGCTCTGCATCATGTTACGGAACATCTAAATATGTTTTAAATATTTTAAACTAAATATTTAAATATGCTCTGTATCATGTTATAAAACATCTAGATATGTTAAAATATTTTAAACTAAATATTTAAAAATGCTCTGTATCATGTTATAAAACATCTAAATATGTTTTAAATATTTTAAAATAAATATCTAATTATGCTCTGTATCTTATTAGAAAACATCTAAATAGGTTTTAAATATTTCAAACTAAATATTTAGATATTCTCTGTATCTTATTATGGAACAAATTTTTTCCGATGAAAGTGGGCTATGCATAACATTTTCTATCTCAAAATCGCTGATCTTCGATAAACCTTTTAAAGCGCTATTTTTAAAATTTTTTTCTTGATTCAAGTCATTTATCAAACTTTTATTGAATTTTTTCAACGTTTTAACATTTTGTGAGATTTCTTTGGAGCGATATTTGATTAAAAAAGTTATTTACGATTGATATGAAAATCGTGAAGTCAAGTGATGAATCCCGAGTATAGGTCAAACTAACTTTGTTCCTTTTTAAAATTTGCCCCTAAAGATAGGATTTTGCAGAATATTGTTTTTATACGGTAAGGCGTGCCCTACCAAGAACATTTTTTTTTCGAACTTGATTTAAAGTTTTTGTTAATTTAAAAAGTATAAATCTATTTAGCTACCACACCTGTATACTATCTAGCAGACCCAGATGAATTGAGACATGTCTATTGAGAACTAGATCAAAGCTATCTTCTATCCTATCCTTCATCATATCAAATTGCTTGAAAACCCAGGGTTCTACAAAGAGAAAATGCATTATTTAATATGAAATTAAGATAGAGGTCTAATTTGTTAATGAGCAGGCCTTGAAAACCATTACCTAGGGACTTGTATCACACTCCCCTATCTAAACTCTAAGGGCAAAATCAACCCCATCAATATATGACAAAAATAGCCCAATCGGGACAGGGTTAAATCGTAATTTTAATCTCCATGGCATGTCCGATTCAAAACGGTTCCATTTAAAGCTTGGTCTGCATGAGATAACCATCGTCTACTGCAGGTTTCTATTGACATGCAAAAACAATGGAGTAAATTGTTAGAATTAATAATTTTTTTATCTAAAAAAATACGCTCCTACGCATAAATCGAGCAGTATTTTGCCAAAAATGCTTTAAAAAACTTATTCGAGAAACAAGCGCGTTGCTTGAATTTTTAAAAGGTATATGACTAGGGCTACAAAAAAAATATAAGTAAGTTTGTGAAGTAAAACAAAAGGCCATAAAAAATTTAATGACAAATTTTCAGAGTTGTATAAATCTCTGAAATTAACCCTGTCAAAAACCTTCCATATTTAGCCAAATTTAAGTCAGGTCTGAGGGTTTAGGTCGTGGCCACAATAGTGTTTTAATCTTTTCTCCATTATTAAAAAAAAACTCTATAATTTTGATCGTACTTTCGAACTTACAAATATTATTTTGTTAAAAATGGTGAACAGTTTGTTAGAAATATCTCACATAGTACTATATCTTAAGTATTATGTTCTGAATTTCAAAGAAATGTTTGAAATCTATGAGATTTATACCTTTTGAAAAGTTGGCTTTAGACATGTCTATATTTGCAGGAATTAAATCGTACCCTGAAGAATTAAAGGTATAATAATTTTATGGTTTTTAACTTTACTTTTATCAATTATCATTACTTTTATTATTTTGTAATAGATATTGTAGTTTTTCAAACAAAATTATTATTGAAATCGTTAACATCCTGATCATTTTTCAGTTCATTTTTTTATCACATTTGTTAATAATATTTTCATTTAAAATGTTGTAAGTTTTTTGTAAATGAAGCCATTTTGTTTCCATGTCATTATCATTTTCTTAAGTATCATCGATCCTACTCGACCTGAATAAATAACATCTGTTCTTGATCTCAGAAATAATGGCATCCATGTCATATCTCCACTTGGACAATCTATCAAAAATATGAATTTAAGTAGAAAAATAATCTTGAAATATTTTTTTCTTTTATCATTGTTTTACATTAACTATTTGCTGACAAGATTTGGTGCAAAAAAAACTGTGCTGTACAGAGTACTAAACTGTAAAATAGTGCAGTACTGTACAATAAACAAATTTTCATACAATTATGATTTTCAAAAGGTTTCTGAAATTTTGATATTGTCACGAAAAGGCATTTTTGACAGTTGGGGCTCATGTGTGAAAGAAACTGAGTCTTTTTCAAATATTTCTGATTTTTAATCCCTATTTATTAACAACCTAGTGTTGTAGGCCTTTCATATTTTAAGCTAAAAGTTCTGTACGATCAAACAGTTTAAGTACGTAAGAAATATCAAAGGTTTACATCAGAGATGAGATTTTAAAAGCTTAAACCAGAGTAAAACCCTAACTCGGGCTTAGATAGAACCCAAGTCAGGAGTGGTTCTGATTCGACCAATGAGAGACTGTTTAAAGCAAGTTTTCTCTCTGTAGCAGACAGAATGCCATCAGATCAGCTGTGACAAGGAGATGTAAATTTCGAAAATTCAAACTTTATGTAGATACATTATTTTCATAGTATGTTTATTTTATATATTTAATAAAATTTGACACTACAAATACTTCCCGAGATTTTAATGTACAAATATAAAAGATTTTACAAAATTCACGATCAGCTGCTTCAGACTCGAGCCTTTAAGAGAGAGAAACCCAAGATGGTTGGTTTTTACTAAACTCAAGGCCATCCAAAACCCAGAGTTTGACTTCAGCTTTACTTAGATCTAAGCAGACGCAAAGACTGGGTTTTACTCGGGTTTAAGTTTTTACAATCTCATCTCTGGTAGCAAAGAAATTTGAATTTATGACAAAAACTCACTTTGTTGGACGAGTTCCAATTCAAGTCTTTAAAATATGAACTTACTTAAGTTTGTTTTTGAAATTTGCTTTATATTTTTTTATACTTTTGCCCCACCTGACGTTAACTTGAAATTATTAGTAAAAATAATAATTTACCAAGAAATCTGATGGTTTCTTTCCCCAAATCTTTTTTGAGTTGATTTGTGATAGTTTCCAGAGATTTTCTCATGTTTTTAGTCACTTCTATAGTACTACCAAAACCACTCTGCAGGTTCAAGATTTTACAAAAGTTAAAATATTTACTAGATTTTTCAAACCGCCATTTTAGTTGCACCTTGTAAAAAAAATGTCGAGGATTTAGAACAATGTTCGACCGGCTAAAATTAATAAACTTTGGTATACAAAAAAATTTGGCGTTTTGTCGTTTATTGGATGTAAACAAACCAAATCTTTACATACATATAAAATTGAGGAAATCTCAGCCAGATATTAAAAACGTGTTGTTAATACGAAAAAAAACTTTTATTGTAAATGAATTTTTGTCGTTTTACTACAGAAAAGATGGTCACAAATACTTTTTAAATATTGCTTATATTATTTTATTTATATTATTGTTTTTAAATTTTCAAAATTATGATTTGTTATCTTCCTTAGGGGATTCTGGAATCTGATTTTTCCAATCCTAAAATATATTATCATTAATTAATTTAGTGTTTTTTAGAAAACAATTTTTATTTTCGGGATTTATGCATGCGATTTAAATTAAAGAATTTATAAAGAGAATTTAGTTTGGGTTTGGTACTTTGGGGCAACGAATAGGTCGGTAGGGTTAAGCATGCGGAGTAAGGGTTGACTCGACTTTACAATTATTAAAGTTCTCGGAACAAAACATCTGTACCTTTGAAAAATTAATTGTTTTTCGTTAAAATCAATCATCTTCAAAATAAAACAATTTGAAGACACTATGCATTCGCATTCACGTCTCCTTTAATATTGAAATTTTCACATTTTAACTTTAGCTTTGAAAGTAGGCATTTTCAATCATTCTCAAATTTTGGCAAATTTTTCGATTGAAATTGGTGCACTTTCAAATTGATGATTGTCGGCATTTTTTTCCGGGCAAAATTGTTCAACTTTGACAGGCCATTGACCTCCCATAGGTGTCTTGTTAGTAATTCATACTAAATTGTTTACGTTTTTAAACAAACAGACAGACAAGCAATTTATATACAGGGTGTCCGAAAAAAAATGGGAATTCAGTGACGAATTCGATATCGTCTTTTCAAATAATTCTTCGATTTAGTATAGTGATACCTACTGAGAAAGCTGTAATCTGTAAGAGTTTCGTCTGCTATGTTTACATTTTGTTTGTTTATGTTTTGACTGCAACCGGTTGTACTTAGTAAAACAAGAAAATTACAGTATACAAACAGAGTAAACTTGTCCGTATTCACTGTTCATCTTGCGGAGACATTATAGACACATCTTTGTAGTCTTTTACCCTTTTCATAAAATAAACTCTAGCAGACATAATAATATTATGGCTTTTGAAATTAGGTATTACAATGCTAATTCATAACAAAGACGATATCGAATTCGTCACTGAATTCCCATGTTTTTTGGGACACCCTGTATATTGAAGCTGAGATATTAGACTTACGTTCTCCCAAGATTTTAGTCTGTTCTCGTGTTTTTCTGCATCTGTCAGCTCAGCCTAGATATATAAAAAAATAAATAGAAGTAACATTTATTAGTATCATTATTATGAGCGATATCATTTAATACGTTTACACCTCTTGTCATTAAAAAATTAGGCGTGCAAAACATTTGTCCTACAAATAATTTGTCCTCCAGTTTGGGGGAAATGTCACTGTCCTGCAAAGAGAGGAAAAAATTCATATTTTCTACACACTTCATTATGAGCAAATATACAACGTAATAAATAAGGGGAAAAAATACTGTCATTAATTTTTTGTATATCTGAAGGTTACAATCGAAATTTATGATTCTTGCACACAGCAAGCTGATTTATAAATACATGGACGCTTCGCAAGAGAAAAAGAAGTTTCATTACGAGTTGTCAAAAACTCAGATCTCAATTCTCAAGTAAACTAACTTCCAAGAATTATGTAAAATTATTTTGCGGATTTTCTATTTTTAAAGTTGAAACATTGTTGTAAAACTTATGTCCTGAGCTGAAAAGTGAAAACTTTCGAATGGGATATCCTTAATCCCGATTACTTAATCTGAGCATCCAATGGACACACTTTTGGGTTTTGTTCTTAAATCATTCTTCTTGGATAAAGTAGAGAAAAATCGAAAACCGGCTTTTTAAGATTAGAAAGTCCCCCCGTTTCTGTATATTAATCTTAAATGGCGCGCAAATTTCAAATTTATCGGCTTCATATATGCGACTCTGATTGGNTTATATTAGGATTATCTGTAGCCAGGGTATAATACCTTCTTTATATTAGGATTATCTGTAGCCAGGGTATAATACCTTCTTTATATTAGGATTATCTGTAGCCAGGGTATAATACCTTCTTTATATTAGGATTATCTGTAGCCAGGGTATAATACCTTCTTTATATTAGGATTATCTGTAGCCAGGGTATAATACCTTCTTTATATTAGGATTATCTGTAGCCAGGGTATAATACCTTCTTTATATTAGGATTATCTGTAGCCAGGGTATAATACCTTCTTTATATTAGGATTATCTGTAGCCAGGGTATAATACCTTCTTTATATTAGGATTATCTGTAGCCAGGGTATAATACCTTCTTTATATTAGGATTATCTGTAGCCAGGGTATAATACCTTCTTTATATTAGGATTATCTGTAGCCAGGGTATAATACCTTCTTTATATTAGGATTATCTGTAGCCAGGGTATAATACCTTCTTTATATTAGGATTATCTGTAGCCAGGGTATAATACCTTCTTTATATTAGGATTATCTGTAGCCAGGGTATAATACCTTCTTTATATTAGGATTATCTGTAGCCAGGGTATAATACCTTCTTTATATTAGGATTATCTGTAGCCAGGGTATAATACCTTCTTTATATTAGGATTATCTGTAGCCAGGGTATAATACCTTCTTTATATTAGGATTATCTGTAGCCAGGGTATAATACCTTCTTTATATTAGGATTATCTGTAGCCAGGGTATAATACCTTCTTTATATTAGGATTATCTGTAGCCAGGGTATAATACCTTCTTTATATTAGGATTATCTGTAGCCAGGGTATAATACCTTCTTTATATTAGGATTATCTGTAGCCAGGGTATAATACCTTCTTTATATTAGGATTATCTGTAGCCAGGGTATAATACCTTCTTTATATTAGGATTATCTGTAGCCAGGGTATAATACCTTCTTTATATTAGGATTATCTGTAGCCAGGGTATAATACCTTCTTTATATTAGGATTATCTGTAGCCAGGGTATAATACCTTCTTTATATTAGGATTATCTGTAGCCAGGGTATAATACCTTCTTTATATTAGGATTATCTGTAGCCAGGGTATAATACCTTCTTTATATTAGGATTATCTGTAGCCAGGGTATAATACCTTCTTTATATTAGGATTATCTGTAGCCAGGGTATAATACCTTCTTTATATTAGGATTATCTGTAGCCGGAGTATAATCTCGAGGCTCCCAAGTTCTGCAGTCTCGTACTACTCCATCCTCCCCTAGACGCCCCTCCACGCCAGAATTTGATGGCTTAACAGAAAATTAATTTGTAACAAAACTTTTTTGATTATAAAAATGAAAATAACAAAAAGATGATGCTATAGAAAAAGTGGGAGAGGGAACAAGATTAAAATGTAAGAAATGAGAAGAAAGGATACCGATATATGAAGGAAAACAAAAAGAGACAAAAAACCAGAAAGTAAGATGGAATAAAAAGAAAGTAAAGAAAAATTAATTTTGCATTACTCTAGGTTAGGGGGGGGGGGGTTTATATACTTCATTCAGATTTAGCCTTTTAAGGCTTAATCCAGGAAGATGTAAAACAAAGGAGAGAGAGAAAGGGTTTGTGTGCACATTTTACTGTTGCGTATTAGGACTGCTTGCAATAATTGACTACCATAGTGTTATCCCAGAAAAATAATAAAACAAACTCCAAGAAAAAATGTGTACTGCAGTTTCTGGAAGAAATGTAAGAACCCGGTTATCACACTTAGAGCTGAGTTTTATTTACATTCCTCCGAAAAACTGCGGTACATATTATTATTTTATTAGATTCCTTGGTGTTATCTAAAGAATAAAAATTATTTAAAAACATATTTCCTGGGCGAGGGAGGGAACCCTTCGGCAAACATAAGCCTCAATCTGTTCAGAACCGAGTTTCCAAAATTTTCTACAGGGTGTCCCAAAAACATGGGAATTCAGTGACGAATTGGATATCGTCTTTTTAAATAATTCATAGATTTAGTAAAGTGATACCTACTGAGAAAGCTGTAATCTGTAAGAATTTCGTCTGCTATGTTCACATTATGTTTGTTTATATTTTGACTGCATACGGTTATTTAAAAGACGATATCGAATTCGTCACTGAATTCCCATGTTTATTGGGACACCCTGCCTCTGCAAAGCAGTACGATTAGAGTATACGCTAGTATACAGTAAACAAGCCTTTGCTATGAAGCATAGCTTCTTTAACACTTCTGGTAATTAAATGTCATATTTTTTTACTTTTTTTCCACTCTTAAGGCTACAGCATATCGGAGGCTCAATGGCGGCTACGGTAGGGGCAGAGTCTGTTTCATAAATGTTGCTTATTTACTGCAATAAAACCTGTTTTTTTTGGTAATATGAACAAATCANAACTTAATAATATTCTCATTTGTTTAAATTATTTGACAGATTATTTACACTTAACTCTTGTACATTTTAATCTGAGCTGAACCGACCACAGTCTTAGTTTGTACTTCTAAACCCATTACACCAACTTTACTGTCAGACATACTGCAGGGGTCAATATATCCTAGCTCTGTAGGCAGTACAAGCTGGTGTAACTATAGGTTGACGTGGTCTGACTGTAGGCTGCATCTGGTTAAATTTACAATCACTAAAGTTGCAAAGGAATTGAGTTTTTGTCACAATTTTAAATTTTCTAATTTCTATATTTTTGCAGCTTTAAGGTGTAAACCTGTGATTTTTCAAACTTAGATTATTTAATCTGACAGAAATTGTAGTTTGAAATATCAAAGGTCTACAACATCAAGTTGCAAAGATAAAGGGGTTAGAAAATATGAGTTTGTGACAGACTCAATTCATTTGCGTGTATTACTTGTAATATATTTGAAGAGGAACTAGTGAAGTACAGTACACCGATAAACCCAAATATTAAGACCACAGGAGCACTAAAATAGATAATCATAGGTAGTTAGAAATAGATAGGTAGTAAGAAAAGTTCTCTGAAAATAAGTTTTTCGTTGAGGGTGAGGCTCAAAAGACTTAAGTTAAAAAGTTAAAATAAAAATAAAATGCTTCCCCTCACCCGGCCCCCCAAATTAAAAATATTCCATTCCAGGACTTTGTTCATTTGCTCAAAAAGAATCTAAATTCTTTATTTCTTTGTTTGTTTCTGTTCTATAGGTTCCATTGAAGAAGTGAACAATTGTTTCCTTGTAATTAATCAATTGTATTTAACGACTTTTGTTTTACAAAAATAAAGTCATCATATATTTAGAATAAGTAATTAATCCAAACCTGAAGGCTCTTAAATCAAAAATACTTCGCATTTTTACTTTTCTAAAAACAATTGAAATAATGTATTTTATGGACCTATTATTCAAAAGGGGTTAATTCTGCTTCACCCTGTATTATGATACATCCTCACCCTGTCCTACAATTTATAAACCTCTTATACATCGGATATTCAAGCTCACTCTGTATAAAAAATGTTACTAGGGACTTTCTAGCACACCCTATATTCTAGTAAACCTTTATTACAAGGAATATTTAGATCACCCGTATTCTAGTAAACCTTTAATACAAGGTTTCTCTATCTCACCCTGTATAATAGCAAACCTTTAATACATGGGTACTCTACTCTAGATCACCCTGTATTATAGTAAACCTTTATGCAAGGGTTCTCAAGCTTACCCTGTAGACTAGTAAACCTTTAATACAAGGGTTTTCTAGATCACCCTGTATTCCAGTAAACCTTTTATACAAGGGTTCTCTAGATCACCCTGTATTCTAGTAAACCTTTAATACAAGGGTTCTCTAGATCAACCTGTATTCTAGTAAACCTTTAATACAAGGGTTCTCTAGATCACCCTGTATTCTAGTAAACCTTCAATACAAGGGTTCTCTAGATCACCTTGTATTCTAGTAAACCTTTAATACAAGGGTTTTCTAGCTCACCCTGTATTCTAGTAAAGTTTTAAAACAAGGGTGCTCTAGATCACATTTTATTCTAGTAAACCTTTAATACAAGGGTTCTCTAGATCACCTTGTATTCTAGTAAACCTTTAATACGAGGGTTCTCTAGAACACCTTGTATTCTAGTAAACCTTTTATACAAGGGTTCTCTAGCTCAGCCTTTATTCTAGTAAACCTTTAATACAAGGGTTCTCTAGCTCACCCTGTATTCCAGTAAAGCTTTAAAACAAGGGTGCTCTAGATCACATTTTATTCTAGTAAACCTTTAATGCGAGGGTTCTCTAGCTCACCCTGTATTCTAGTAAAACTTTTATACAAGGGTTCTCTAGATCACCTTGTATTCTAGTAAACCTTTAAGACAAGGGTTCTCTAGCTCACCCTGTATTCTAGTAAACCTTTAATACAAGGGTTCTTTAGCTCACCTTGTATTCTAGTAAACCTTTTATACAAGGGTTCTCTAGATCACCCTGTAAAATAGCAAACCTTTAATACATGGGTACTCTAGCTCACCCTGTATTCTAGTAAACCTTCAATACAAGGGTTCTCTAGATCACCCTGTATTCTAGCAAACCTTTAATACAAGGGTTCTCTAGATCAACCTGTATTCTAGTAAACCTTTAATACAAGGGTTCTCTAGATCACAGTAAACCTTTTATACAAGGGTTCTCTAGATCACCCTGTATTCTAGTAAACCTTTAATACAAGGGTTCTCTAGATCACCCTGTATTCTAGTAAACCTTCAATACAAGGGTTCTCTAGATCAACCTGTATTCTAGTAAACCTTTAGTACAAGGGTTCTCTAGATCACCCTGTATTCTAGTAAACCTTTAATACAAAGGTTCTTTAGCTCACCTTGTATTATAGTAAACCTTTAATACAAGAGTTCTTTAGCTCACCCTATATTCTAGTAATTTAACCTTCTATTGGAGGGGTTTTATTAATACTATGTATAGTGTGTATAGCTGACTATAGCAACATTACTGCAGCATAACTTAATACCAATAGAAAGTTGTCACCAAGCGAAAACTCAACTGGAGGTTGTCCCAAAAAACATGGGAATTAAAACAATCGTTTTTGGTTTATTTTCAAAATAAAAGCTTAGTATTAGAAACTTATTTGAAAAAAACTATTTCTGTAGAAAATATTGTGTTTATGAGTTATACATATCTTTAATTTTTAACAAATCTGTGATCACAGTATAATGGCCTTTTACTGACTTAGTTCCTCGTACAAGGAGATGTGAAACAAAAGTATTTAGTTTCCAGGTGAAAAGTCAATTGGCCACTTTTTGTTAATTATCGTTCAAGCAGGCAAACTTCAGATCATTTTCTGCTAAAAGGGATTGATCACAAAATTTGAAAAAATGTATCAAAACTAGATTGGAAAAACAGCTCAGAAATTTGGAAATATATTTAATTTTTTGTGAATTAAGTAAACTTCAATTCTATATGTTTTTTTATTATTTATATACAGGGTGATTAAAAAATGTCGTTAGTGTGCAATATCTTCCTTTTTCTTTCGCAATTCAGATTTTTAATAAATTTTAAAGTTTCTTAAAATTTGTATGGTGAGGGATACCCTCACCATACCCTCACCTGAAAGATCGAGAAAATACGCGAAACTTGTTTTCTTCTTTAAACCAAAAGTATAGAATTAAGCAAATATAATTAAATGAATTATTTCTATCTAAACCTAAAATTTTATAAGATCGGATCAACGAGGTTATAGTGTATAGAGTGATGATGTACGCTAATCCTTTACTAATTGTATAGGCCATGAACTTTACCGAGAGCGTACTGCATATTTGTTTATTATAAGGAAATTCTGGCATAACCAGAGATAAGAGAGTTACAAAGATCGATTGAAACCTATGATATGCAATATTTCCCACAGCATGTTCTATTGTGTACATGGTACTGTACACGACCAATCAGGAGTCATCTGTATTCAAGGATATTTAAAGATCCTTTGGATATGAAACACAAAATCTTCAAAAACAGACTGAATTCATAAATGTTCTGTTTCATGTTTAAAATTGGAGTATTTCTTTAAAAGTTGTAAAACCTAACCCCTGAATGAGTTTTTTATTCAACAAGTGGCCGTGAGATGGCACTCTAAAAACCTATCATAAAAACGTAAAATATTACTCTATCAGAATACGCAACTTCATAATATTTTTTTGTAATTAGGATTAAAACAACAATAATGCTTAACATGTAGACGATCTTGAAGCCGTCATTCGATTCTCATGATTATTGGGACACTAGCTGCAGTAGTGCATGGTGAAAACAATTCGAATTTTGAAAAAAAAATCGAACTTTGAAGACATTTTTTTAGCCAATGTACCCATGGATTCGCTCAAGAGTTTCAGCCATTTGGGCAGCTATAGCTACATATATTCATGTAAATATATATATATACACGAGCAAAGAGCTTTATTATATAGAATAATACACGGCCTGCAACCCAAAAAAGAAAGGTAATAATAGAGCTGTAATCAATCAATGTTAACAATGTGCCTCTATGAAGTGGTTTCAAAGAGAGAAAAGCTCCCCCCCCCCCTAGGGATCGGATTTATCAAGGGTGTAATGCAAGGAAAGTTAATTGCGGTCGTGTATACTCTGCGTACATACTGAAACCAGTTCTCTTTGGGCGGAATTTGTAAACAAGAATAGATGCATAAGTGTTCGTTTAGTATCTGAGGAGGTTAAAAGCATTAAATTTGATAATTTTGATAATTCAAATAATAGTTTTCTATGACCAGAATATTTCATTGATTTTTTTATGTGAAAGATGGATCCCATGTCAGGCTTTGACATTCGTCTTGTGTTTACATTACACTGCAGTACAAAAGATGTGTACACTTCTGAAATAACCTTTCTTGCATTAGTATACCTTGGGATTTATTTAATGAATTTGAGCTAGGTCTAGAGTGAATGCATTTACCGTTAGAAATGGGCATGTTCGACTTGTTTTCATATTGTTCGTTTATCGTTCGTGAAAGAACCATTTTTCAATCATGCAAAAAAGATTGATTTCGTTCGTTCTCAAATTTATTGTTCATTTTCTAATTATTTCGTTCGTTTTCTTACTGAACGATCGTTAAGTAAAATCATTTATTCAGTAAAATCTTTCGTTCAGTAAAAATCTTTCGTTCAGTAAGAAAAACGATCATTTTCTTCTAAAAAAATTTTTCAAAAGGATTGTTCCAAAATAATGTTTGGTCTGTAACAAAACGAACGTTTTTTCTAATCTTTTGGATATTTGTTCGCTTTTTCAAGTTCGTTCGACCGATCTGTTGAATTGTTCTTTTTTGGGTTGTTTCGTTCGTTTAAAAAAAACGATAATTTTTTTTTATTTCTCTGAATGAATCATTTCGTTTGGGAACAGTTTGGGAACCCAGCTTTGCTTGTTTTAAAAATTAAACCAACTAATTTTATAAAAAAAAAGTCTTACCATGCTACGAAGTTCTCCAATGAAAATCGGTCAAGGGATTCATAAATTATGATCGGACATACAAACAAACAAACAGAGATTACTACTTTATATATAGATAAAAGATGTAAATAATTCATAAAACATTATTAACTGGTCTTCTTTCCCTCTTGGATTAAATTAAATAAATTGGTTAAAAATTCTAGAAGATTAAACTAGAGTTAAAACTTTTATCTCTGACACAACTGCCGTATGCTTGAGCACTTGTTTGTAAACACATGCAGATGTTTTAACAACAAGTAAAGATGAAAACAAACAGATAAAAATTATTGTTTTAGACTTTTATACTTTTACTTATCAGTTTTTTATATACTGCACACATTTCATTCACTTTTTTAAATTCTGCTCGAAAAGTGTGATTTCTTTTTGATTATTATGCAAAAATGATAAAAATTTTAGCATTTAAAAATTGGAAACTTAATAAATCTTTTCGAAAAGGAAACGCTCTGGAACCATCTCGCGAAGAATAGAAATAGCTTAGTTCTCTAAAATAAAAAAGATAAAGAACGGTAGCAAATCTAGATTTAGGAAGAAACTTAATTTTATGAACAAATTTTTGTGACTTGCGCATTTCTACTGCAAAAAAACATAACGGAATTATCAAAATTAAACACTTTTAACTTTTAAGCCTTTTCTTACACTTGTGCTTAAAATCAGAACCAGAGGAGCTACGGAGTCACAAAGTCGTAACAGCAATGTCAATTGCATTTGACCTTCGCCTCCTGGTTAGTTTGCTGTGTAACAGTTTACTTAATTGTTTGTTTTTGATAAGGACATGTTCATGTTAATATTGCTGAAACTAACCACAAGCTAGCTTGTTATTTAAGTCTAGGCTGATATTCTGGAAGGATTAGTTGCAGACCATAAATAAACAAGATAACAACATAATACAAGTCAAATAGAGGTATGCAGTATGCACACATATGAACATAAAGCATTCTGGCAGTATATACATTATGTATCAATCTGGCTTTTTACCCAAAGAGAATAGAATATATATTAGAGTGGAATTTACTAGAAAAAAAGAGAAAAACGGCCATTTTGTTGTACTGTTTCCATACTGCAGGTGTACTTCACATATTTGTGCTATATAACCTTTTGGGCCCTGGAACATCATTTTATAGAAAATCTAAAATTAATGTTAAAAGAAAACTAAATTATGAAATTGGCTGGTTTCATAATTGACCAATGATCATTTCACATAGACTCTATGCCTTTCACTTTACAAACGATGATTTTCCGTTATAACTATAAATCAAATGATGTTTTTATTCACCTAATTCATTATAAAGTTTATTTAACAGCTTTAAAAAATTCGAAATTGAAATGGATAGTCTAGGGAACATACTGTATTAATGTACTCTACTGCATATAATTTGTGAACATTTACATGAATTGTACACTTTGAACTCCCTTTCAGGCTGAAAGGGACTGACAAAATTCATACCGAGGGATTGTCTAAATTCCACTCTAATATATATTCTATTCTCTTTGTTTTTACCTAAACTACTTAGTAACTGGAGCCCTTCTGGAAAATCTCTGACCACGCTTTGGATAAGAAGACAACTCCCTATATTAACTCAATAAATACGGTCCAGATAATTGGTAATAATGGGATAATTTATCCTAATCCTGCATACAAATCGAAAAGATCTTTAAAATAAGAGGACCAGCAGAGCAGGGATTTTCTGCAAAAAGATCTCTCTTTACCCCTCTAAAACTTCCTAAACCTCAAACCTTATCCTACTTCAAGAGCATATATACAGTGAAACTCAGAAACCCCTTTATTGTGGAATCTTAATCAAAACTCTCTGAGAGGGGTCAGCATTGTGACATGATCGAGAGTACTTGGCCTAGGGATTACTCCTAGATCACCTTGAACCTGGCTGAAATGCAGTCAAGGCCCGGGAGATCTCTTGAAAATTTCCCGAATTGTAAAATATATTGCCGAAAATTCATTTCTAAAGAATAAACTTAAACATTCATATGTGCAGGGCTGCTTTGTGTACAGGGTATAACATGGCAAGAATTTTATAAATATTTTTAACAATTATCATCGAAAGTAAGTAATCTTATTTGTTTCTTTAATGTCTCATTGTTCAAAACATTTTTTGTAGATTTCAAATTAATAAAGAATGAGAAAGTCAATATAATGATGAAAAAATGATTCTAACATTGATTTCCTGAGAAAATTTTAATTGATAAATATGTCATTAGTTACTGTAGAATTTTTTTTTTTAAATTGTTTGTCGTCACTATTTAATTATTTATAAAAAATCGATTTTCCAAATATAACACCCAAATAGATGATTTTGAACGTCGACTTTGCGCTCAAACTCAGTAATTATTCATAAAACGTTTTATATGTCTCAAATAAATCCTAAAAAATTTCCCAACAATAATACATTCTCAAATCAACTACCATACATTGCCGGTCACTCCCTTTAAATTTTTTAAATTCGGGCTCAGTACATACATAAAAATTTGTTTAACACATTTTTAACGAGTCATCGTAGCTTGAAAAAAATCAGATTCAAAGAACATTTTCATAATTTGTTTTTGGAACTAGCAAAAGTTGTTTAAAATGTTTTATATCGTATAGTACCTACATCACAGTTTTGTTTATTAACATTGTCATTTTAGCTTGATTTTTATACCATCTAGTGATCTACTAAATTCACTCTAGAATCAAATTGTCTTAGCTTTGCCTAGAGAATTACCACAACTTTTCCCTTTAGATGGATTTTTACAGGTAATTACAGTTAATTAACAGTCAGCTGTATTAAACAATTAAATTTTTAAGGAATTAATCAATGCCAATACTGCTGAATAAAAAAATATGTATTAAGATATCTCATCTTTAAAAAGACGTAGGAGTTCTGGCTACAAACCTAAATTGTATTATCTTTGTATCTTTGCAACCTGATGGTGTAAACTTTTGATTTATTAAACTTAGAATATTTTAGCTAACATAATTCACAGTTTGAAATATCTAAGGTATACAACATTGGGTTGCAAAGATATAGGGATTAGAAAATCAGAGTTTGCGACAAAGACTCAATTCTTTTAGACTTCAATTTTGGTGGAACAGAAGCCATAAAAAAGTTTTAAATGCTTTCCTTTCCCCTTAATAATGAAAAAGTTTGTTCTATTTTTTCTTCTTGGTATAAAAAGGATGCAACTGAAATTATTTAATTAAGGTTTATTAATGAAATATATCAATATAATTCTTATTAATTAATTATTCATTATTCTTAATGATTCTCCATGGTTTGCTTCGCTGGGGGAATGCATTGCTGAAGAGCCTAAAATAAGATAAATATTAAAGGGACTATTCGCGTAATTTCAAGTGACCCTACAAGCAAAAATGGAAAAACCCGATCCACAAAGGTAACTTAGATATCTGATGTGGAAGATAACGTAATTTTTCTGATTTGAAAAGAGTTTAATTCTGATAATTTTTCCATTGTTTCTTATAAGCAAGAAATGCGCAAGTCTAAATTGTAGAGAACCCGCAAATTTTTATCAACCGTTCAAACAAAAATAAAAACATGGATACCTTATTATATTCTATATGTTTTTGGCAGTAGAAATGCGTTACTTTTGTAGAGATACCACAAATGATAAATTAATCAGTTTTCAAAATTATAAACGCTGATAAATAATTCAAAACTGATCAAACAAAACTTTTAAGTGCACCGTTGTGAATCGTACATTGCAATCTTTCCACGGAGGGTCCCTAGATTTAAAAGATTTTCTTTGAAAAGAAGACGAAGATTTTAGTTTATATTTCTTATGTATAATAATAAGAACAAATAATGACACTAACAGGACTTTTTACCTTTTCCATTTGGGCCTGCGCCCTCGGGATTTCTTGATGGTAAAGATTTCAAATAATCCCTGGACGGATTAGAACATATTAAAAAATGTAAAGAATCAAATAAAGAAATACAGAGAATTTTTTTCTAAGGAAAAAGACTTATAAGAATTTTACGAAACCTAGTTATTTAATGATACTGAAAATGTGAAAAAAATGTTATTTTTTCAAACCTTGATGGGACTGTCATTGTAATTTTAAGTGAGACTCTTTGTAAGGAGGTGCATGCCTAATTCATAACCTTGAAGCCTTAAAGGGACTATAAAGGAATAATGAAAGGTGGTATAGGCTGAAACCTCAGGAGTTGATTGAGACAATTAAGTGTTCTATCGTTTGTGCCTGTCCCGAGAAATTGACAAAAACTGTATCAAAATTATACCAAAACGTATATATGTAAGATTTAGTATAAGATTCGTAGTATTAAACAGATAAAATTCACCAAATACCCAACCAATCTGAAAATAACGATATCCTGACGAGCCTGAGAAACTCAAGTTTTTCATTTCATATTATTTATGCGTCCGGAATATGTCATTAGAACTCCAACCAATGGCAGTGCAGTATTATTGTCACATGTCTCCGTCTCCATCACGTGACCAGTATTCTGCACTGCCATTGAAGGGAGTTATGGTCACGTGATATGGACGTATATCTTCCATGTATACGTTTGACACAGTTTTACGTCAATTTCTCGAGACAGGAACATCTTAAAGGTATCGTTCAACTCCTGAGAATCTCAGGTTTCAGCCTATACCCCCTTTCATTTTTCCTTTACAGTCCCTTTAAATCTGATCAATAATTTTGGTTTTCTAGCTTAAAAACCCTTTATTTCTAATAGTTTCTCCATTGTTTTTAGCAACAAATGCGCAAGTCGTTGAAGAGAAACCACAAATAAAAATAATCAATGTTCAAATAAAAAACGTGGATATTCTTAATATAGGAAAAGGTTGTTAAGGGTGCCGTTGTCAATCTTACTTTCCCCTCTTTGCAGGGAGGTTCGCTTAAAATTACGCTAACAGTTCCTTTATTTATTAAGTTTTGAAAGAATCAAATAAAAACATTGAGACCCAACAAACTGCAGAATAGGAAGACCACTGTTAGATTCAAGTTACAAGGTGTCCCAATAAACATGGGAATTCAGTGACGAATTCGATATCGTCTTTTCAAAAAATTCTTTGATTTAGTATAGTGATACCTACTGAGAAAGCTGTAATCTGTAAGAGTTTCGTCTGCTATGTTCACAATTTGTTTGCTTATGTTTTGACTGCATTCGGTTGTACTTAGTAAAACAAGAAAATTGCAGTATACAAACAGAGTAAACTTGCCCGTCTTCACTGTTCATCTTGCGGAGACATTATAGACACACCTTTACAGCCTTTTACCCTTTTCATAAAATAAATTCTAGTAGACATAATAATATTATGGCTGTTGAAACTAGGTATTACAATGCTCTAAGTAATAACAAAGACGATATCGAATTCGTCACTGAATTCCCATGATTTTTGGGACACCCTGTATGATGTTTAAATAGTACTTTCAATAAACATGAAACACAGCAATTCACAGACTAATTGAACATAATAAGCTGTTTTTGAAGCAACCGGTAACACAATTTGCTTTGTAATTGAATCAAATTCGCCTAAAATTGCCTAAATATCTTCTTCCTATTCCACAGTTTTATGGGTCTTACTCTAGCAAGGTTGTATAATAAAGTTGCTTACTCTCGATGCGCTCCAATGTATGGGAAATGTCGTCTCCCACGCATAGATATTATATGGACAAAATGCATATATGACGTCACTGATTGTAGAGGCGGGAGTGACGTCATTTGCAGATTCAATCAATCTATGCTAACGAGACGACATTTTCCATGCATTGGAGCGCATCGAGAGTAAGCAACCTTATTATACAACCTTGCAGTGTAGAATAGATTGGAAAGTATAAATTTTATGTTCTTTCCTTATTCCATCTTTCTCTGGGTCAGCTATAGTTAAAGTAGTCATACTACCATCCCCCATACCCAATACCACACACCTATATAGTTAATCAATAGAAATCAATCAATCAATCAATCAATTAATCAATCAATCAATAAATCAATAAATCAATCAATCAATCAATCAATTAATCAATCAATCAATCAATTAATAAATCAATCAATCAATTTAATGTATCAATCAATCAATTAATCAATAACCAATTTAATTGATCGTTCATGTTTCGGTTAATTGAAATTCATTTTATTTTTAAAATTTGGGTAATTCAGAGGTTAGAAAATTAACCTTAAAACAAAAAACTGTTCTTAATAGAAATTAGAAAACCCTTACAACATTTAATGATAAAAAGAAAGTAAAACTAGACGATAGTAGCTGTGTACTGTTTTGAATAAAGCGAAAAATGATATGTTTAATGTTTGATTGGCCAATTAGAGATCACAGCTTTCTGATACAAGGACCAAACTTTTTAATCTGCGTAAATTATTAATGACTAGATGGATGACCCAGCGTTGCCCGTGGTAAAAAAATTAATCTATTTCTTTTGCCTATGTCACCCCCCGGTTACCCATGTCTGTCCATTCGGTCCAGCCGCTTGTCCAGCTATAGAAAAAAATAAATACGAATGTCTTGTTTTATTTTATAAAGAGGATTATCTAACCTTCCATCTGTAGTTGTCTCCATTCCTTTCAGATCTGCCTGGACTCTAAAGTTTGCGATCATTTCACCATTTTTCCGCCGAAATGCTCTAAAAAATTGAACACTTTTTATGTGACAAAATATGTCTGCGTTTTAGAAACATCTTCTCTAGATGTCGCACAAAACAAAGTTAACAGAAAAACAATCCCTCATCAATATCATTTTTATCTTTAATGATAATTTTTATCTTCAGGTTTGATTTGTAAAAATTTTACAAAAAAGTCTTAACAAGAATGAAGAAGATTTCCATATTTTGCTCTTTAAAAATTGATTATTTTCAATTGCAGGTTCTCTACAAAGGATTTCTATTGCAGAAACGAAGGAGACAATTCTTAATTTAATAAAGGGTCATTTCTTTTTAAATTGTGGGTTACATGAAAATGCTACCTTAGTTCCTTGAATTTAGATTTGCAATATAATAATAAGACAAGTTATTTACCTTATTGTTTTTTTGCCTGAGTGATAATATAGAACATATTCATTTGTAGCATTAAAAACAGCAACTACATCAAATATACCCTCAGCCACCTAAAATAGGTTTTATCTTTAAAAAATGAAGGTTGAAAAAATAAGTAATTATTACATAAGAAATCCTTATAAATGTGGAATAGAAAATAGAAAGATGACTGTTAGACCAGTTTGACTCAAGCTATGATTTAAATAGTAACATAAACATCTTTACATAAATTTAGCTTGTCTGTCTGGGTGTTTGTTTGTTTGTTTGTGGGACCTCACGTGACCCCAGGGACGGTTCATGAATGATCAAAAAAATAAAAATTTGTGTTTATTTTTTTATTTTTGTAAAATTTTGAAAATGCGCGAAAAAAATATTATGAAATCAGCAAAAAAATTTTTGTTCTTGTTTTATACTGTACAAAGAGAAGATGCTCATGAAGATAAAGCCACAATTAAAAGTTGAAATAGAAGATGGGCGCGAAGCACCCTATAAAAGTCTAGCATAACAATATTTGTGTAGTGCACAAAGACCAATTTCATTTATTAAGTTGATTATTAGGCTACTGGTAAAACTTGTTGTCTATTAAAACTAACTGAAGGGCCCGGCGTTGCCCGTGAAAAATTTTTTTAAGATAAAAAATTTAGAAAAAAAATAAATTTAACTTATGTCACAAACAATTCAGTCCGTTCGGTACAACCGTAAATACACATAAAGTTGCGCAAATAACGTCATTCTGTTCTAGAGTTTTTTAGATTAAAATAAAGCTACACGGTTTTTTCGGCAAAAGATGTGAATTCATAGTACAGTGGGACCCGTAAACCTGTAGAATATAAAGACGACTCTTAGACTTGGAATAGTTCAATAACACAGCAATTGTTCAAATACTCATTTCTATTGATGAATTTATTGCAAGTTATATGTTAAATCTATATTTGCTGAATAACAACATTAAATTCACAAAAAATTGCTTTAATGTCGTCTTCCATTTCTACAGTTTTTCATGGGTCTTCCTGTAACTACATTACAAGTTTAAAAACATTATAATTTATCGTCAATTTGTTATTAGAAAAGTCTGATATTAAAAATAAAGACTGTAGTTTGAGATATATACCTTAGGTATCAGGGTTTTACACACTTTACCAGTTCTTAAATCTAAATTTAAAAAGGATTATAATTTGTATAAATAATCAATATTTACAGGGTTTATTTATCCAAATATGTAATTAGAGACGAGCATCGTTTTTGGAACAAACGAAATTTTTCGTGGAAAAGGATTTCGTTCAGAAAAAAACAAACGATGGACAAACGAAATGGATCTTTCAGAGAAATGTAAAATTATCGTTTTTAAAAACGAACGTCTTAAAATCAATCGAACGAACTTTTGTTTGCTTTTAAACTGTAGTTTTTACCGAATGAATCATTTTTTCAAGCAAAGGAATTGAGTCTTTGTAACAAAATCAAATATTTAAACCCCAATATCTTTTGAACCCGATGTTGTAAACCTTTGATATTTCAAACTCTGATTATTTGATTTAACAGAATTCATAGTTTGAAATATGTATGGTCTACAACATTTGGTTCCAAAGAATTAATGATTAGAAAATCAGAGTTTGTGACAAAGACTCAATTCCTTTTTAAAAGAAACTATCTTTTTTTTACTGGACGAACAATTATATTGAAAAACGATTTTACTGAACAAATAATTTTGTTCAACGATTGTTCAGTGAAAAACGGACGAAATAGATGAAAAATGAACTATAATTTTGAGGAAGAACAAAATCTATTTTTTTATAAACGATTAAAACAAAACAAAAAAGATCGAAATGGGTCCGTCACGAAGGATAAGCAAACGAAATGAAAAAAGTGGAACGTGTCCATCTCTAAATACCCCCACCACCACTTTATACACAAACATATAAACAGTTTGTTTTTAATCTTCCTGACAGAAACAATCTCAAGAAATAATAATTGTCCTAAAACATTTTTTAAAACGTGAATATTTGCAAATTATCTTTTTTCCATCTCATGATCTGAGTTCGTTTCCCTGATGTCCATTTGACAAACCAAGTCTTTTTCTTTAAAAAAACTTTTCTGTTTGTTTATTTTCTTGTGGTTTTTAACATTTTTTTTTCGATTTTGATGGTTATTATATCGTTAGAACTGACGATGGTCAACCCAGACCGAAATATTTTTTCAATAAATGTGGAACTAACATCTACTTTTTTTACTCTACAGAGGTTTGGTCCATCACCATCGCCGAATTTTAAATCATCTCTAAATATGTTACCCAAATATTTTTAAAATCTCTTCTAATAAAGGAATTTATTTAAACATACCTAGCATATCCATTCCTCCAGTTGCAGGAGCATACAAACCGAATTTCCCATCCTTAAACACATTAATTAGTAAATATGATCCTCCAGTACCATTTAAACCTTTACGCGATCAAGGAGTTATACATATTCCATCCAAAGAAAATATATATTTCATTTGAATTTTTAAAAATCCCGTGGGACATAAAAGATTTGGGATTTTCGAGAAATATGTGAAGTCAGCTGCGTTGAGTTTATACACAATTTAATTTTTAAGAAAACACGGTAATATCTGCTGCCGATGATCAGGCGAAGGTTTAAAGGGTACCGTTGCAAATCGGACATGAAACTTAATATATTTTTTGAAATTACGTTTATATTCCTCCGTCACGTTAAGCACCAGTCAAATGGCAAAATGAAAAATTGTTAACATCAAAATACCTATGATTTGATACCTAACGTGACCAATTTTTGTTTATTTTACATGTGACCTACAGATATCATTAGTATTTGGAAGTAAAAGATTCTTGGGATGACATGCAATCAAACCCACAAACTTATAGTTTAAAATTAACGTTACATTTTATTTAGTTTTCTTGGGTCTTGACTCTTTGAGAGGCCATACTTGAATAGTGTATTGATTTCTTTAGAATGACCGGTTGCAAACTACTCTCACTATATAAACTGTGTTTTCTTTCATTCTTTATTCAGATGGTGTTACTTGGATGTTTAACTGAAATAGATTGAAGTATTATAGCAACAATATAACATTGATAAGAACAATTTTTATAATGATTTCATATAATTACTTACACGAATGTCATCTATTAAGAAAGAAATCAAAGTAAGTTTACATCAGCGTCCATGGTTGGTTTAGGCCTTACTGAAGCTATACTTAGGATCCAGGCATACATATGTGCGTGCGCGTAGCAATTTGAAATGTACATATTCTATATATAGTAAAATGGGAATAGATCAAATGCCTAATTTCAAAACAAATAGAGGTCCAACTGGAGGTCAATTTTAAGTTTTTATGTAAGCATATGATTTCTAGTTACTGAAATTGTAAAAATGTGGAATTTTCCCCTTTTTTCTGCTTTTTTTGAGGTCAAAATGGAGGTTAATGACCTCCATTTTAGCCTTCTATCTCAATTTTTAGGACCAAACGTAACCTTTACAAAAGTTGGTGTCACAAAGTGTTGAACATCGCCCTTCTTTTAATTTCAAGTGTTATAGAAATGCGCTGTTTTAGAGAAAGGGGGTTAATGCAGATCGAACATTTTAGGTTTTATAAACCTTAAAAACATCTCACCTTGGTACAGGTTCCGTCCCAAAATGGAATACTCTTTAAAAATCTCTTCTGTATAATATCAATTAAATTTCCCTGAGAAATGGAATTTATTAAAAAAAATCAACATAATGGAATTTTATAACACGATTTAAAAGTAGGATAGAAAACAAATAAATCAAATTTTTATTAAAATTAGAAATTAGAAGAGCGAAGAGCTTTTTATATAGATTTATAAAGAGATATAGATATATATTTGTAAATGTATATGTTGTCTATAGCTGGCTGGACCATATTGGCTGAATATTTTTGAGGGAACACATGGGTACCCTGGAGGTAACATAGGCTAAAAACACAGACATTTTTTCAAGATGGAAATTTTAAAAAAATTAGATTTTAAATTCCACGGGCAACGCCGGTAACTTCAGCTAGTACTTGAAAAAAATAAAATAATTACCTTTTCTACGTCTATCAAAGCCACAACACTAGGTTTGTCTGGCAGTGCAACTATTTTTGTCACTTCTTTAAATCCTGAAAAATTCAAATTCTTAAATTTCCAAATCAACACCAACCACAAAGTCCATTTTTTTATCTGTCATTTGTAACCTGATGGTATAAAACATTGATATTTTTAAATTTTATTATTTTATTTAAAATGATTCAAAGATTGAAATAGACGTCAGATTGCAAAGATTTAAGAGTAAGGTTCAGAAGAATCTCATTATCATTTAAAGAATTTGATATTTCTGTAAATGTTTACAACTACAAATATCAATGTATTATTATTTAATTTATTATAAAGATTTCTGAACCTGTATATTTGATTAATATCTTGTTCAATGCTTCTCCTGTCTTGGCAGCATGGATATAGATATGGTTCTTCATCTTTTCAAATCCGTAGCAGACTACATTCAGCTCATCAGGGGTCATTACTACATTCTAGTATATACACAACCTTAATCCGTAGCAGACTACATTCAGCTCATCAGGGGTCATTACTACATTCTAGTATATACACAACCTTAATCCGTAGCAGACTACATTCAGCTCATCAGGGGTCTTTACTACATTCTAGTACATACACAACCTTAATCCGTAGCAGACTACATTCAGCTCATCAGGGGTCATCACTACATTCTAGTATATACACAACCTTAATCCGTAGCATACTACATTCAGAATATCAGGGGTTGTTAACAATTAAAACTTAAAATGAAAAGTCGTCTTCATTGTATTGATATTATCGCTTACCACTGTATGTACCTTAATTTTCTCGTTAAAAACAGGGATGGATCGTTTTCAATTCTTTGAAATCCATATTTTTTCGTTTTTATAAGAAAACAATTGTTTTTGAAAAAAATCGTTTTAAAAACGATAGTTTTTTTTCAAAAAACGATTGTTTTTAGAAAAAAATAACGAAATGAAAACGATCGTTTTTTCGATCTTTTTTAAAAACGATTTACAACCCTAGTTACATGCAAACTTGATAGCAAAACAGTACAAATTATTTCAAATCCATTTTTTTCTTTCTGATTCTTTCAAATTACCTTAAACTCGAGAAAAGGATATTCAAACTCCCATTGTTTAACACCTTCAGGAACTGAGCGTGATGTACATATTCCAGTATAGTTTCCTTTACAAGTATCTTTTTAATTTCAAGATTTACAATTATTATAATTTTATACGGTTGTAGGCGATATTACCAATACTACTTTTTTATTTAAGTTTTTATTTTTAACAAGCTTTTTGCTTTTCAAAATTGAAATCGAAAGTCCTCTTTATTGTATTGATAAAATCGCCTACCACCGTATCATGCTGACTTGGAAACCCAGCTTTGCTTGGAGTTTTCCGTATGAAAGTCGAACCCTTAACTGAAAATTTTAAAAACCCAGCTAAGAATATTCCCGGAGTTGGCCAATGAAAATTTGAGACAAATCGGTCCAGGAGGGGTTCATGAGCATCTGACATTCAACCAAATAAACGAACCGACAAACAAATCCCCAGTGTGGGTTAATTGATACAGTTAACCTGGGGGAAATGCACAAATCCTTCATTGTTAGTTGTTACACACAAAAGATGAGACTGAAAAGACGACCGTAAACCCTTGATTTATATATATAAGTAATTAAATCGCATATATACTGATACAGGTTTAAAGTTGCTACAGAGAAATATGATAATTTTAGGAAACAGAAAATAGATATTCCACACAGTTGTCTTAAAACTCTCATCCTTTGTGGGTAACCCTGAGCGTTAACTGCTTTCTAATTTCTTAATTTCTACTTCTGAATTAAATGTTAGAATTTGGGTAATTTTTACCTCTTTCTCCTCGTCTTGATACAACAACACATCGGGTCTCATTTTTATAATAAAATATTTGCTGGATATTTGGCTGTTTCTCCTGAAATAATGATTATTATAGAATAATTGCTGTATATTTAGCTGTTTCTCCTGAAATAATGATTATTACAGAATAATTGCTGTATATTTAGCTGTTTCTCCTGAAATAATGATTATTATAGAATATTTGCTGGATATTTAGCTGTTTCTCCTGAAATAATGATTATAATAGAATATTTGCTGTATATTTAACTGTTTCTCCTGAAATAATGATTATTATAGAATATTTTATGGATATTATGCTGTTTCTCCTGAAATAATGATTATTAAAGAATATTTGCTGGATATTTCCTGAAATAATGATTATTATAGAATATTTTATGGATATTATGCTGTTTCTCCTGAAATAATGATTATTAAAGAATATTTGCTGGATATTTAGCTGTTTCTCCTGAAATAATGATTATTATAGAATATTTGCTGGATATTTGGCTGTTTCTCCTGAAATAATGATTATTATAGAATATTTGCTGGATATTTTGCTGTTTCTCATGAAATAATGATTATTATAGAATATTTGCTGGATAGAATATAATAAAAGACTTTGTGTAGGGTTACCAAAAAAGTATGAGACTGCAAAGACGACATGAAACTCTTAAAATATGATAATTTCAAGGTTAAATATTGGTTTTAAATGACTTATTTCATTATATGGAAAGAAACCAGTTTACAGTTGCAAAAGAATCCTGAATATAAGAAAACAGACAGTATAAAGTCAGTACACTCGCCTCTAAAGTTTCATTCTTTGTGGATAACCCTGTCAGATTTTGTCTTCAAATTTATTCAGTGAAATTATTGCTGTTCACTATTTTATAATATTATGCTTCTAAATTCTTGATTCATTCATTAAAATTCACCCGCGGCAAATATAAAATAAAATAAAAATAAAAATAAAATCTGTCATGATACTCGATTTAATGGTAAAAATACTGTAAAATACTTTGCTGTTATAATTATAATAGAATATGTGATGAATATTTGTCTGTTTCTCCTGAAATAGTGGATTTATTAAAATAAATATTCGCTAAGGCATATTGGTAGTAATTATTATTATTCTATTTCAAGAAAATCTTATGATTTAAGCAGTTAAAAAATGAAAATAGCTGTAAGGAATTTTATGAATAATTATTATTTTAAGGAAAATTTGTCTTGCTTGCCTGAAATATTACTTGTCTGTTCTCCAGGTTCCAATACAGAACATCACCTAAATATGTTTTAAAGGGACTTATGGAGTAATTTCAGGATTTACATGTCTGATTTACTGAATGGTACTCTTAAACCTATATGATGGAGTTATACTTGTTTTTCTATCTGGAAATTCACTTTTTTCATTTGAATGTGAACAACTGATTTATGCAGCACAGGCAAGAAATGAAATTAAGGAGAAACTTCCTTCTTGTCGATCCAATAAATGTCTTATAGGTTCCGTTGTGAATAGTTCATGTAATGCCATAAATTAAGGGTCACTTAAAATTACGTAAATAGTCTCTTTATTATTTATTATTCAGGTTTTAGACAGATTTTGTTCTATTTTTAGCTGAAGTAACTTTAGCAAAATTTTTACTTCATATATTGTATTTACAGTATTAAAGCTTCTCTAATAAACTTTTCTTTTTGAAATATATGAAAATATTTTTAGATTTATAACAATACAGATAAAACACTAGACGTTGTCTTTTCAAGATTCGGGGGTTTTACGTTCACAATAACCATGAGGCTGAAGCCCAAAAGTGTTACGCGCATGCCGCACTGAATAACGTAGAAAACAGAGAGAGATCATGCACGCGAACTCCGACCTTTGGGTTTCTGTCTCAGGGTTATTGTGGACGAAAAACCTCTAAATCTTGAAAGTACAACTCTAAATGTTGCATCTGTATTGTTATTAATCAATGTAATATAAAGGTAAAACAACATCAAGATATTTAGATTGTGTACAGGAAAAAAATGAACACTTAACTCAAAATTTAATTTTCTGATCATTTTATTTTTTGCGATCTAAGAGAATTTAAGTTTAAAACATAAAAGCCTAAAAGGTCTAAAACATATTAGGGTGCAAAGATAAAAGGACAAGAAAATAAGAGATATTATTTTCTAATAACAATCAAAGGAACCATATAAAAAGTTTGCAAAGGTACTTTGATTGATTAAAAAGTTTTAGAAATTTGAATTTAAGATAAGTTTGATACCTGATTCAGCAGCTACTATATACGTTCCATCTTTATTGACGAGAGCATGAGTAACAATTGCTCCTAAAGCAGCGTTAGCCAGACGAAACTTTAGTTTTCCAGTCATAAAATCCCAAATTCCTAAATAAAAACAAATTAAACTGTAGTGTAGATATATTCTTTGTTATGATACTCCTGGGACCGAACTTAATGAATTTGAGCTAGATCACTGAACTTGTTGTCGATTCAATACTTTTCTGAAGTTATTAGCTATTCAAGATACGTGGTTGAACCGTCTATAGACCTGGTTCAAATTCATTAAAACATGTCCCCAGTTCATTTTGTAGACATCATAAAACACAAAAATACTAAATTGACGTCCCATATCATACTAGATTATCTCCAAGCTGTAACACCGAAATACGCATGTACTACTCGAAAAAGCGGTGCATAGGAAATCGATCTTTAACTCTTTTGATCAAAACGGAATCTGATCTAAAAATATTAAGATCAAATTCCCACTTTTCGGAAAAAATGTGAAATTTAATCTTAAACATAATTTTCGAATAAAAAATGTGTTTTTTTGACAATGAATAATAATGAATAGGTATTCAAAAAGTGTTTAATTAGATCTAGAATGTGAAGAATTAGATTTAAAATGTGTGGAATTAGATCTGAAATGTGTGGAATTTGATCTAAAATGTGTGGAATTAGATCTAAAATGTGTGGAAATTGATCTAAAATGTGTGGAATTAGATCTAAAATGTGTGGAAATTGATCTAAAATGTGTGGAATTAGATCCAAAATGTGTGGAAATTGATCTAAAATGTGTGGAATTAGATCTAAAATGTGTGGAATTTGATCTAAAATGTGTGGAAATTGATCTAAAATGTGTGGAAATTGATCTAAAATGTGTGGAAATTGATCTAAAATGTGTGGAAATTGATCTAAAATGTGAAGAATAGCGTCCTTAAACTGTGGGGTTCAGGTAGAGTTAGAGTAGAAACCTGAACCCTACTATTCTCTAACCTGAACCCTACTATTCTCTAACCTGAACCCTACTATTCTCTAACCTGAACCCTACTATTCTCTAACCTGAACCCTACTATTCTCTAACCTGAACCATACTCATTCCTAACCTTAACCATACTCATTCCTAACCTGAATCATACTCATTCTTATCAGCTGAACTCTACTTATTTTACACTGAACCCTACTCATCTCTACCCTGAACCCTACTCATCCTAAACCTGAACTCTACTCATTTCTAACCTGAACCATGCTCAATACTCATCCCTAACCTTAACAATACTAATTCCTAACCTGAACCATACTCATTCTTAACAGCTGAACTCTACTCCTCTTTACCTTGAACCCTATTCGTCTCTACCTTGAACCCTACTCAACCCCATCCTAAACCTTACTCATCCTTAACCTGAACTCTATTCATTTCTAACCTGAACCCTACTCATCCCTAACCTGAACCCTACTCATTCCTAACCTGAACTCTACTCATCCTTGACCTGAACCCTATTCAACTCTACCTTACTCATCTGTAACCTGAACCCTACATATCTCCATTAAGGTCTGAACCTAACACACTTTATAAACTTTTAAATCAGATATTTTTAATAAACTTATAAAATTTAGATTAGATTCTACAAATATTAGATCCAATTCTACATATTTTAGATAAAATACCCAATTTGAAGGGGAAAACCAAATTTCAAAAAAAAAAATATTTTAGATCAGATTCCAAACTTTTTAAATCAAATTCCAAAAATTTTAGGAAAAGTGCGGACTTTGATCTAAAAAATATTTTAAATCAATTTCCAAGTTTTTCAGATGAAATTATCATTAAATCAGATTACTCTTAGATCAAACTCCCTTTAGATCAAAAGGTTTACAGGTCAGATTCCTGCATGCAAATTTTTATATTAGCCGTGTACAATTTTTAAAAAGTATTCATTCTTTTTAAATTTTCTGAGTAGTCCCAAAAATCCAAATTTAGAGCTATAAACGATCTAATCTGATGTGGGACACCCTGTGCGTATACTAGCTTAGGAACCCAGCGGTGCCTGGGTTACTAATAGTTACTCCCGCCGTTTACCCGCACTTGGTCTTAAATTACAATTCATCTATTTTAACATTTAAAGATTGACCCACTTATCTTAGAATCACAAAGCTAAGGACATTCCCATGGTTCTACCGAGTTCCCCAATCAAAGTTTTTGGGAAATCGGTCAAGGGGTTCCTGAGTTATGATCGGACAAACAAACAAGCAGACAAACAGAGATTACAACTTCGCATACATAGAAGATGTTGTAATTATATATAATTTCCAGTATTATCTTGTTTTCATTAAATAGATATAATGGAAATTATTAAGCGGCATTATGCAAATTTATGCAATACTCCGAGACCTCGTACTTCTCTAGTTTTTATATTCCTAACAAGTATGAGAAAATATCAGATTTGTATATTAATCTAACTTTTATACAGATCATATTCAGCAAATATGTAACCAATCTGAAAACTATACGATATCCCAGAGGAGCTTGAAAAACTCACGTTTGCTCCTATTTTTTTCCAATATAATAAATTTTTTTTTGAGAGATATCATTGATATATGTGACAGAACTCACACAAATGGCAGTGCAGTATAGAATTGGCACGTGTTTCCGTCTGTATCATGTGACCATGATACTGCACTACAATTGGTGGGAGTTCTGGTCACGTGATACAAACGAATTAATTATATTATCAATTATATCTCTAAAAAATGAAAAATTATTAAATTTAAATAATAATAGGAGTAGTATGCTCCTCTGGGATATCGAAGTTTTCAGATTAGTTGTGTAAATGCTGAATATGATCTGTTTAATACTTAGATTATTATACCAAATCTGATATATAAAGTTTTTGGTATAATTTTGATACAGTTTTATATCAATTACTCGAGACAGGAACATCAGATAGAACTTTCTCGATCAACTCCTAAAATGCTCAGGTCTGAATCCCATTTCATTTTTTCATTACAGTCCCTTTAATGTCGTCTTCTTATTCTATAGTTTTCTGGTTACCACTGTATATTTTTATAAACTAACCTATACAGCTTCTTGTAACAACTACAGCTATCCCAGCTTTGGTTGATATGCTTAGAGAATCTATTGTCAACTCATGTTTATCAATATGATGCTCTTTTTCAAATATGTAATTCAAATTCCAAACCTAAAATTATCATTGTTAATTAATGGTTATTGATTAAATGAAAACACTATAAAGGAACTGTAAGCTTAATTTCATGTGACCCTCCATATAAAGAGAGAAATGCCCGATTTACAACGGTAAAGTTACCTTAACGTTTGAAGTCAGCTAAAAATGCCGATAAGCGCTGCGCTGTATTGATATAAGACTGTACGACACATCGCGCACACCGGAATTTTCAGCGGACTGCAATCGCGAGTATGCAAGTTTACAAACACATTTCTTTTTACACGACGAGCTCACAAAGGTTTTAAGGGCACCTTTGTAAATCGGGCATTCCCATCTTTGTATGGAGGGTCACTTAAAAGTTTGCTTACAGTCCCTTTAATGCAGTGGAGAATATTTTCAGTTCCATCTTTAAATCTTGACCTTGACCTTGACCTTGACCTTGAACTTAATCTAAACTTAAACTTGGCTTCGGCCTTGATCTTGAACTGACCTTGACTCTAAAATTATTTTTGGTCTTTACCTTTAACCTTGAATTCAAGCTTGGCTTTGACCTTGACCTTGAACTGTTCTTGATTTGGACCTTGTTTTTGGTCTTTACATCTGCCCTAGAAGTTAAACTTTCCTTGACTCTGACCTTGAACTTTTAATTGATTTCTACTTTGACAAAGACCAAGACTTTAAACTAGAACTTAATCTTGACCTTGACTTTGACCTTGACCTTACCCTGACCTTTACACTGACCTTACCTTGACCTTACCTTGACCTTACCTTGACCTTACCTTGACTTTGAACTTGAACTTGAACTTCTATATCCAAGGGGGATTAGTTCGCAAATATAATTTTGTATTTTCACTGTTAAAAATTTAACACTGAAAACTAGTAGTCTCAGGATTTCCAAAATGTGGTCTACCATTTTTTCACCTTCAAAATTGACGGAGTTATTAGGAAATATTTCCAAATTCCAGCTAATTAAAATCAACAAAACTGTATAAATGTTTTATATCTCCGTCAATTTTAAAGATACAAAGAAGGTAGACCCCATTTTGGAAAGCTTATTAGACGTCCAATCTTTTTTTGATGCACTTAATGTCATTTATCAATTATCGGAAATAAAAAAAAAATGTAAGTCGTGATTTCATTTCCCATGTTTATTGGGACAAGCTGTAGCATAGACCAAAGCTTTGGTCTTGATCATAAATTTTATCTTGAATTTAAGCTTGTTTTACCTTGATGCTCCGATCAATAGATGAAGTGAGAACTGAGTTTTCTGATCCAACAACTAAACTTTTTATTTCAACAATTCGTTGAAAATGTGCATTGAGTTGATTCACAAGTTCTCCAGTAGACATACTCCAGACAAACAACTCCTGTCTAGACAAACAATACTCTGGACAAACAACTCCTGTATAGACAAACGATACTTCAGACAAACAACTCTTGTCTAGACAACAATACTCCAGACAAACAACTCCTGTCTAGACAAACAATACTCCAGACAAACAATTCCTGTCTAGACAAACAATACTCCAGACAAACAACTCCTGTCTAGACAAATAATACTCCAGACAAACAACTCCTGTCTACACAAACAATACTCCAGACAAACAACTCCTGTCTTGACCAAAACGGTTTTAAAACAATTGATAAAATCGTTTTTAAAACTTGTTTTGGTCAAATTTAATTTTACTATTATTTTTACAATTCAGATTCTTTTAGAGAACCTTTAAAGCCAAAAAACCATAAACATTTAAAATTTGACCTGAAACTATTCCAATAAATACAAGGTGTCCCACAAAACATGACAGTTGGTGAATAGTATAAAATGTCTTCTTCAATAGTTTGTTAAGTTATTTGATACCAAAGTGAATAACAAAAAATTTTCTATAATATGTCTGCTACAGACATATTATAGAAATATTTATTTCAAAGTAAAATATATTTGAGTAAAAGATTTTTTTAAGAATTAAACTGCCATGTTTCGTGGGACACCCTGTACCTTAATTATCCCCTAGTAATTTTATCCCTCCCTCCCGATAAACAAATTAAATTTATAGTAAAATTGTGTAAAATGTTAAAATATTACCTAATCCCAGCTACAGCCAACCTATCTCCAGCAGAGAGAATACAATTATTAGATTCATTAAACTTCTTGCTGATATTCCGCACTCCGTTTGGTAAATACAATTCCTTTAATTAAAATACATTTGTTATTAGATTAATTATTAGATTCATTAAACTTCTTGCTGATATTCCGCACTCCGTTTGGTAAATACAATTCCTTTAATTAAAATACATTTGTTATTAGATTAATTATTAGATTAATTATTAGATTCATTAAACTTCTTGCTGATATTTCGCACTCCGTTTGGTAAATACAATTCCTTTAATTAAAATACATTTGTTGTTAGATTAATATTTTATATGTTTTTAATCACAACTTCTCTTTCTGAAGTGCTATTGAGAAAATTATATAAGTATTGAATTTCTAATATGCAACATCCAACAAAAGAAGTTTCTTCATTGTACTTAAAAATCAAATTTAAAACTGTTAAACAGCATGGATGCACATAAACATAGAAGTCAAGAGAAGCTGTCAATTAAAAAGGCTTCTTTAAAAAAAGCTTGTTAACAATCAAAGCTTAAATAAAAAAGTTGTCCTCATTTTATTAATATACTCAACTACCACTGTAGTTTAAAATATCTATGGTCTGTGACATCAGGTTGCAAATCCATGATTTTGAAAATTAAGTAACTTAATTGTAGACTTATTTATTCCAAGTTTTGTAAAAACAATTTTACAGCATTGTTTTTTTTCTCTTAGTAAGCGTGCTAAAAAAATTGATTGAGTCTTTGCCATAAACTTAAATTATCTAAGCCCTACATCTTTGCAACCTGATGGTCTAAACTTTTAATGTTCAAAACTTCCATAATTTAATCAAACAGAATTCATAGTTTAAAATATCTTATGTCTTCAACATTGGGTTGCAAAGATATAGTGATAAGAAAAGCAGAGCTTGTGGCAAAGACTTAATTCATTTTTCCTGGAATTCACTTGTTCAGTCTTTAATTCGTTTCACCTGATGCTCGTTATTTTCTACTTTCCATAGTTTAAACCCGTTCAAAATAGTTGCATAGCACCAGTTCTCATTCTGGAACATAAAGAGAATAAATATTTTTGTCACATTTTTTTAGTTTTAGAGGACATTACGCAAAAAATATGAATTCTTTCAATCTACGAGCTCTACAGTAACAATGGCTAGCTAAAAATACTTGGGCGGTAGCTCACGGTTTCATTGTGGATTTTGAAAGATTTTGAAAAAGAAAGTTAACGGAAAGAAAGTCTTTTCGCCGATATAGACAACACTAGCAAAGCCTGAACTATTATACCATTTGTTTTCTTTATTATTTAGTAAATATTTCATAAACGTATTTTTTTTTAACTTAAAACCAACCAGAACCCACAACTGCGGCCAGGTCAGAAACCACAAAAATTTTGGACTTTTCCGGATCATACGTTTTTACGTTTTATTGGATACCTATCGCCAGTTCAAATCCTGAATCACCGATATAGATTCATTAAGATTTGAATCAGAGATTCAGGATTTAAAATAGCGCGTCGGATGTTATAGTTCAACACTATAGTTTCATTAGAAGTACATAATTCTATTAACTGTTTACTGCCGATATAAGGAATTATCTCTAATTGGATGATGAGATAGAAAGATAGATGTTACAGTTATGTAATTTCTATTGGTTCAGAATAGACAACAAACCACATGACTGAACCCTGATAGGATCAGGCGCTAATGGACTAGCATACAGGAGTTTCAAGCGACCCATTCAATTGTACAGTGGACAATGTACCATTTACCCTCAGAACAATTATAATCAATGGAAATGTAAACCCCCGAGGGATTCTAAAATAAATCCAAGAACGTAGCCCAATGGTTAATCATTATATCCCGGGGGGGGGTTCAATTGGTTGAAAATTTTCTGAGAGTAAATGACATTTCTTTGTGAAGAGCTGGTTTTAAATAAGTTTTTAGATCAGTGGGATTCAGTGAAAACTATTGTATACCAAGAAAAACAGGTTTTTATTATTAAATTGATAATATTTAAACTTACCGTTGACATATCAAGCATAAGGATATTTTCATTATTTTCCTGAAAATAAAATATAAAATGTATAAAATGTATAAAATGTATAAAATGTTTAAAATGTATAAAATGAACAAAATGTATAAAATGTATAACATGAACAAAATGTATAAAATGTTGTTTTGTTTTATATTTTTTTGTCATTTTTACTATAAATATAAAAATTAAGAAAACTCTGATTTAAAAAAAAAAAATTCTAACCTGGAGATTTCGTTTTTTCTTCCAGACCCCCTGTACTAGATTATACTCACAAACTGTTTTCTTATCTCTTAAACGAAACATTTAAGTATTTAAATTATAAAACGTAGTTTATTAATCTTTTTAAAAATGGTTACTACAGTTGAAACCAGAAAATGTCTTAAATTGTCGATTGTTAACGTTTTTTTCGTTTTCTTGTGAGATTTCGTTTTTTTGAAATTGTGATTAATTTTGAATTGCAATTAACATATCTCATGTAAATTAATATTTTTATACAGAGACCAACACATTTATATTTAGAATCTGTGAATCTGTAGAATATGTAGACACTATTAGAATCTATATAAATCTGTAGAATCGGCAAAATATGTTATAGAAGATGTAGAATCTATGGAATCTGTAGAATATGTAGAAACTATAAGAATCTGTATAAATCTGTAGAATCGGCAAAATATGTTATAGAAGATGTAGAATCTATGGAATCTGTAGAATATGTACAAACTATAGAATCTGTAGAAATCGGTAGAATCTGCAAAATATGTAGAAGATGTAGAATCTATAGAATCTGAAGAATATATAGAAACTATAGAATCTGTATAAATCTGCAGAATCTGTACAATTGTAAAATATGTGTAAACTGTAGAATCTGCAAAATATGTAGAAGATGTAGAATCTATAGAATCTGTAGAATCTGTAGAATCTGCAGAATCCGTAGAATATGTAAAATCTGTAAAATCTGTGGAATACGTAGAATATGTTTAATCTGCAGAATCTGTAGAATATGTAAAATTGTGGAATTTGTAAAATCTATAAAAGCCGTAGAATCTGTAGAATATGGACAATCTGTGCAATCTAAAAAATCTTTACTGAGGTACTGAAGGAATCAAAAAGCAATGGAATTCTGAATATATCGCTATTGATTCTATAATTTGCAGCTGAACTATTTCTATATTTTTAGAAATTTACAATCAGTTGCAACACTTGCAAATATTATAAAATCCTTCAAGATGAATTCTAAGAAGGGAAAAACAAAGACAACGTTCATTCCACAGTTTTTGCTGATCATTATAAAATTATATTTGACTGTTTATTGGTAAGTTTGAATGTATGCCTTCTGGTATTTTATTAACTACTAGCTAAAGGGCCCGGCGTTGCCCGTGGTAAAAAATTTGATTTTTTTTAGCCTATAACACCCCCTGGCCACCAATGAGTGTTCACAAAAAAATTCAGCCCAATCAGTCCAGCCGTTTGGCCGGCTATACGCAACATATATATATATATATATATATATATATATACGAATGTATATATAGAAGATATAGTTACTTTACTAAGTTAATATTCAATTTTTAATTGTCTGAAAAACGTCTGTTTACCTAATTTCGCAGATAAAGCACTGAGTTTGTTTTTTGTTCATGGCTATTCCATTCCAAGCCACCAGCATCTCAGAAGAGACACCCTTTCGCATAGTCTCAAGAATTATTCTACACAAAAAAAACTTGTCAAACTTCGAAAATGCAAATAGATTCTAGTACAATAGATGGAAAAGTAGAATTTGTACACTCTCAGTATACAACTGTATTCTTACGCCACAAGTGTCAACTCAGTTTTTGTGTCCGACAAAATTATTAATAATAGTGATAATTTCAGAATAAAGTGCTTATCATGCAATAAAATAAATGCAATTTTATGTGTCCTTCATTTTCTGTTTTTACACTTTTTTTATTGAATCTTGGAAAATATGTCAACTAATGTGAGAAAATATCGTTTTCCTTGTTATATTTGACACTTGTGACGTCGTTTATAATGGTCAATTTCTCTGTTGCCACCTATTGTACTTGATAATCTATTTGCTGAAATGTATCAATCGATAGATAAATAGCTCAACAAATCTAAGATATAAAATCTTCGTCTTTTTGTTCCAGCATGAATTTTTTTTCAGGGTTTTCCACAAATGATTAGACGTAAATGGCGACCAATAAAATATAACTATTTTCTCAAAAATCGTTCTCTAGGACAGATCCCGATAAACTTAATTATTTGGCAAAGAAGGAAACAAGGAGGAAACCATGAATGTAAACAATCTGACTAGTCGTGCTTGTATCTGAAGTAGGATTTATATTCGCAATATGCGCAAAAATAGCGCAATAGCGCAATAATAGCGCAAAACTTGATCTGTACAAATTCAAAATTTATCTTGTTGTATGCCACAACAAAAAAACGTGTTGGTGGTATGACAAGAAAGTCTATTCCAGTGTCTACTCTCTGTTGTTATGAAAATCAAGAATAATACAAACTTTACGTTACGCTAAAGCTTACCGCATGTATACTGCATATAGCAATATGACTGCATTCTCTGAAACGCTAGTTTTTTTATATGAACTAAACATATATTATATTATTTTAAAAAACAGAATTTGTTCAAACTTCCCTAAAATTGAATAAAAACATGGAAACCCTAAATATAAGAGACATATCCATTGTGGAATTAGGGAGGGAACCCACGGCCGCCATGAGCCTCGCAGCACCGAGCCTCCGCTATGCTGTATAAGTTTTATACTAAAACTTTATAAGTTTATTTATGCGAAAAGGAAGGTATTAAGAAAACAAAATCTTAAATAAATTTAATTTGATTCGATAAAATCTTTAATTTTAGAAATACCTGTTCTTTATTTAAATAATTCTTTAAAACAGTAATTTTGCATTACAAGTGTTATCTAAACATAAAGAATTTTTTAAAAAAAGATATCACTTAAATCAAAGATTTTAACTAATCTAATTGAGTTCACTTATAATTTGTTTCTTATTATCTTTCTTTTCGCGTAAAAAGTTTTTGCATGATATGTGTATTGCATAGCGGAGGCTCGGTGCTGCATAGCAAATATGGGAGGCTCATGGCGGCCGAGGGCTCCCTCCCACGTGGAACACGGCTAAATCAATTACCTCGGGTTTGTTATATCTCCAGTCCAGGAAATGATGGAGTAACTGTCTAGGGTGTCAAGCATCCTGAATTTACAATTTTTTACAAATCTTAGTTAAAGGGACTGTACGCATAATTTCAAGTGACCTTGCATGCAAAGATGTCAATGCCCAATTTTCAACGGTACTCATGAAAGAGCTTTGTCTGATCAAGCATGAATTATTTATCAACTTCTAGAGTCAGAATAACGACAGTAAGGTTAAAATGCAAGGAAAGTTATTTAGAGGTGTACGCATCTTTTGTACTGCAGTGTACTGTCTCTTGGCGGTAATGTAAACACAAGACGGATGTTACAGCCTGTCATGGGATCCATCTTTCACATAAAACATCAATGAAATATTCTGATCAAAGGAAACTGTGAATTATCAAAAGTAAATGCTTTTAACCTCCTCGGATACTAAACAGTTACTGATGCATTTATTCTTCTATATATAAATTTGGCTTGTCTGTTTGTCTGTTTGTTTGTATCCAAAAAACGTCAAAACGGCTGAACCGATCGGGCCCAAATTTTGTGCGGGACATCACGTGACCACAAGGAAGGTTTTTGAATGATAAAATTTAAAAAAATGTGTTTTAAAGGTTTTNAATTTTTTGTGGGACATCACGTGACCACAAGGAAGGTTTATGAATGATAAAATTTAAAAAAATGTGTTTTAAAGGTTTTTAATTTTATAAAAAAAATTAAATTCTTGAAAATCCGCGAATTTTTTTTTAATATCCGCAAAAAATTTTTCTTCTTTTTTTAAAATGTAAACAAAAAGAACACGTTCACAATTTAAATAGAAGATGGGCGCGAAGCGCCCTTAAAGCCTAGAAAGAAGGGCGCGAAGCGCCTTGAATTTCTAGTGTTTACAAATTCCGCCCAGAGAGAACTGGTTTCAATGCACGCAAAGAATACGAAACTGCAATTAACTTTCCTTGCATTATAACCTTGAACGACGGTATCTTCCAAATTTTTGATCAGATTTTTAAGATTTCAAGAGTACCGTGGTGAATCGGGCATATCCATTATTGCATGGAAGGTCTTTTGAAATTACGCTTACAGTCCCTTTGAATCAGTCGGATTTCTAAGTATGTTATGTGCAAACTGTATAACCCTTAGAGAGATTAAATTTTTATAAAAAAAAACTGGGTCACTTGAATGATCCTTCAGATAAACCGTTTCGACGATTTTTTTATTTCACGATCAACGTCGGGCATTTTACTGTGACTGCTTGTGTCATGTCTATTATGGTTAAGAAAATATGTTATTTATATAATATCTATGTAGCTACTGAGATGTGAACATTTTTAGTTTGGATTTTGAGATCAATGCTTGATATCGATCTTTTGCTAATCTGCAGATTAAGTCTTTGTTCGATATCCAGCATGTTAACTGCAGTACTGCACCGCTTTCGAATTCTAGATTAAAATATATCTAAAAGTATATCGATGCAGACAGGATATACTTAGCTGTAGTTGGTGAAAAAAAAATCCTTCACATTAGAAATACAGATTAATTCTTTTTAAAAAACATTTTAAAAATCAAGAAGTTTTTCTAAATAAGTTTTTTTTTTAAATCTAAACAATTAATAGTTTACATAAATTATATTAATATTTTAGATACAATAGCTTACTTTAGACTAAGAATTTCTCCCTCTGTAGAAATCTTCTTAGTATCAAGTAATTTTCCCCGTAAATCAAATATGCACCAAGTAAACTAAATCATTAAACCTTTTTTATTTTTTATAATTATTTTTAAATCATCCTTATTTGCGAAAAAATTTAAGCAATCCGCAGTGTATATCATTTTAAGATAATTGAAATATTGAGTTTTTTTGTGAACACAACATTTTCATAATGCTTGCAATTGTGGAAATATACAGTGAGAACCAGAAAACTCTGGAATAGGAAGACGACAATTTATAACTTGAAATAGTCAAATGAACACGAGACACAACTATTTGTAGTGTAAACAGTTCCATTTCACTTGATAAATTATTCAATATTATACTAGTAAAACTATTAGTTTGTAACAACATCGGATAAACTTATTTATTGTTTTATAATCGTCTTCTTATTCCACAGGTGTCTTGTTCTTGCTGTATACATGTAAATGTGATTAGTTTAATGTTTCGATACCTAAAACAGTACATATTTTTTTTAATTTGGGATTTTTAAATTTAATTTTCCCTTTAATTAATTTGGGCAATTTCCTTTAGATTATTCTGAATGGCTGAGACTTCATTGAGACCTGTAAATCTTTTAATTACGCTTTAATTAAAAGATTTATTTAGTCTTCAGCTTTGAAAAGTCTGTTAATGTTATGATACATTCCTTTGCAAAGAAAAAAAAACAAGTTTACAGCATGCAGTAAAGTATTAATTTGAAAATAAAAACACTTCTAAACAGTGATGTCGTCGCTGAAGTCGCATTCTTTCTTGGAAACGTTGTTTTCTACATACCAAATTTTCCTTGTATGACTATTCTGAGTCCGAATTTAATGAATTTGAGCCGCGTCTCAAATCCTCAAAAAATCGGTTTTAATTGAGCACCGGCTAAAATCTTAAAACATTGAATGCAATTTTAAGGGGAACCTACGATATTTGAGCCTTGATGAATTATTAATATAAAAAAGTTGAATGATTTCCTGTCCGTAGACCACAAGATGAGTGTCCAGAAGAACTAAACCTAGAACTGTTTCCCCATCTCCCAACGGATTATCAATAATAAAGAACTCACTACAACAAATAGAAGTTTTTTTTTACTTTTTTTAAAGAGATTGTTCACTTATTTCTTAATACACATTATATGGGGTTTTTAAAAATCTATTTATTGTCTATTTCATTCAAACCCGGTTTTAGAGTGAATTTGGCGTATATTTTTAAACAACTTAATAAAAACAATTTCAAGTTGTAAAAAATTGTTTAACGCTACAAAATAACGATAGACTTTCCATGCCTTTTAATTTAGGTTCTCAAATATATTTTATTTCTATTGATTTTTTTTCAAAAGTATTAGTCATCTAGAGAAATTAGCATTAAAGGGAGTGAACGCGAAAAATGGAAGGGAGTATAGGCTGATATCAAATTGAATTCGATGTCAATTGCTACTAATTTTACTTTTATCTGTTGCGTGAAAATGGGTTTAAATGGGTCAAAGACTTTTTTAACCATTTTCTCCTTAAACGCAACAGATAAGAAACTAGACGTGATCGATATTAAATTCATATCGATATCCTAAACTCCCTTTAATTTATAGCGAATACTCACTTTAATGCTAGTTTCAGTTTTTATTTTATTTTTATTAATGTTTTACCTGATTAAAGTATTTAAAAGAATAGTTTGATTGTTATTGGTGTAGGCAGCTGCAAACTTATTATCTGGTGATAGTTCAAGACCGATCATCAAACCTTCAACCTAGGCAATAGTTCAAGACCGATCATCAAACCTTCAACCTAGACAATAGTTCTAAACCAATCATCAAACCTTCAACCTAGACAATAGTTCTAAAACGATCATTAAACCTTCCACCTAGACAATAGTTCTAGACCAACCATTAAACCTTCAACCTAGACAATATTTCTAAACCGATCATTAAACCTTCCACCTAGACAATAGTTCTAGACCAATCATTAAACCTTCAACCTAGAAGACAATAGTTCTAGACCAATCAATACACCTTCAACCTAGAAGACAATAGTTCTAGACCAATCATTAAACCTTCCACCTAGACAATAGTTCAAGACCAATCATTAAACCTTCCACCTAGACAATAGTTCTAAACCAATCTTTAAACCTTCCACCTAGACAATAGTTCTAGACCTATCATTAAACCTTCCACCTAGACAATAGTTCTGACCGATCATTAAACCTTCAACCTAGACTATAGTTCTAGACCGATCATTAAACCTTCAACCCAGACAATAGTTCTAAATCAATCATCAAACCTTCCACCTAGACAATAGTTCTAGATCAATCATTAAACTTTCCACCTAGACAATAGTTCTAAACCAATCATCAAACCTTCCACCTAGACAATAGTTCTATACCAATCATGAAACCTTCCACCTAGACAATAGTTCAGGACCAATCATTAAACCTTCCTCCTAAACAATAGTTCAAGACCAATCATTAAACCTTCCTCCTAGACAATAGTTCAAGACCGATCATTAAACCTTCTTATTGTTCAATACCAATCATTAATCCTTAAGAAAACTGAAAACAGATTATTATCAAATAATCATAATTATTAATAAAGAAATGTCACCTTTGGATAAACTTGTCTTGCAAGATCTGAGGTCACAACATCAAATGTGATAAACTTATTAGAGCAGGAGATTATATATCTGTTGTCTGAGGTTAATTTCATTGCAAATATTGCAAACTGGTGACCCTCTAAAATAGGAAATTAGTCAGGAAAAAGCACAGAGCAAGGAATAGGCGTAGATGCAGAGTTGACGCGTCTGGGCGTCTGAAAAGTTTATATGTTCTGCAATGTTCATGTAAAATAGCACAATTAGTTTAAAGAACGAAAATATTAGTATTTACATAATTACTGAGACTTCGTTCTTGTCCCGTTTCCCCGGATACACTGGACACACTGTGAAAGTATACAATAACCCCAAAATCTACACCTCGATTGATTGATTATTACTTAATATACAGCTACAAGCAGCTGACTGTTTAGTAAATCTCTTTCTGGCTATAGTATAGGCAGGGCGGTCCGCGTCAATCATCCATCTTTGACTACCTGATCTGTGGGATAATGTCATTTATAAATTGTTTATTACCAAGTGAGTATTTGAGGGGTCCGCCTGGAGTATGCATGCAGTGATAGGTTGGTACCAAAGCATTTTGTTTTATGCCTTCCTCATCACATTGCCTAGAAAACATAGGCATGGATAATAAAGATTTGAAAATACGAATGGAACCCATAGCACTGTGCAGGAATGAGAAGACGACTGTAATCCTTAAGTCATGATAAATTCAATAGTTAAATAAACGTGAAACACAGAAATTGTAACAGTGTACAGTACACAGTACACACTACGCAGACCAATTTAAGCTTTCAATTGTACAAACTGCTTGCATTATAAGAACAACAAATACACATAAGATTGCTTAAACACAGTTTGGTGAGTTTCACTTTAATGCTTTCAATCTTATTTTATAAAAGAAAAACAATGTTTTTCGTTTCGGAAAAACTTCAGAAGAACTGATCTTTGCCACAAACTCTGATTTTCTAATCCTCATATCTTTGCAACCCAATATCGTAAACCTATGATATTTCTATGAATTCTGCTAGATCAAATACTTTAAGTTTGAAATATCAAAGGGTTACACCTTGAGGTCGCAAAGATAAGATGAGAATATTTGAGTTTGTGGGAAAACTTCAGTTCCTTTCGAGGTTCAGCACTGGTTTTCATTTTAAGAAAAATATATTTTGTTACCTTAATAAGTTCCTGATGTTTTCACTATTCTCTATCTCCGGTAGAAGCCTACCCACGAGCTGAGCAGACAACATCCCGGGATAAAATTTCAAGATGGCGCCTCCCAGTCGCAGGGAATCAGCAACCAAACTTATTTCTTTGTGTATGGTATCCTTCTTATGAGGGTCCAGACGAATGTTCTGAAAAAAAATCAAAAAAAATTATATTTTAAAGATAAGAATATCATTTATTTTCTTTTTTATTGATGGCTGAAATTGTCTGTATATTCTAAAAACTAACAAATTTGAATTCCTTTAAATTAGACCCAAGGATTATAACATCTTTGTTTACATATGTACCACAGTTTCTAGGAGGAATATAAACTAAACTTAACCTTTGACAGTACGCTTTTTATAAAAGCATGGGGGTTCCTGCTACATATTTCTTGATTTTACCAATCAGATTAGGAGGTTCTTTATTAACATTTCTTGGGCAGGCGTATATACAGGAATTGAAAGAAAAGAAAGCAGTGGGGATCAATATTTNGGAGGGGGGTATTAAAAATCAGAATTTTCAGAATGTCCCCTTTGTATGCACCCCGTCCATTGAGAGAAGGATTAAAATGTTCTACCTTGATTGCATCCTCAAAATCTCCCAGAACTTCAGGCAGAGGAAGTGCACACATTTTATTATACAACCACTGCATTAAATATAATATAGTGAGGACCAGAAAACAGTGGAATTCTCATCTTCTTTTTTATCATAAAATGTTTTTGAAGATTTTGTTAATTAACTATAATGGGTAATTAAGTACTTATTTTTAGAGATATATCAGTTGCAATAATTGAAAATTACAAACTCATTCCGCAGTTTTTGATTCTTTTTAAAAATATTATTGATCAACAATGTGTATGTAGATTATACACATGGTCCTTTAGTATCAACAATACATAGATATTTTTAAGACTTTAAAATCTTAAATAAAATTTTTGTTAAAAAATATTTTACATTGAAAATAGATTTGGGGGGATTGGTACACATGCTTCTCCATTATCAAAAACAAATTTAGGTGAAAAAAGATTTGACCGAAATAAGCCGGTGAAGACGAAAACCTGATAATTGAAGAGAACATTATCATAAAGATCTTTATATCTAAAACATCGAACCAGTTGGAATGGGAGCTCTGTAAACTTTCGAAGATTATATCTGAAAAAAATGTTATTTTCATTTATTTAACAAGGTTTTCAATAAGTTATACCTGGTTAATTTACCCTGACGGTTGTAGTAAGCTAATGGCATGGCTGGAACCTGTCTGTAAAAAAAATATTTTACTTTTTTTAATTTAAAAAAATTATTTAAATAAAATTACACTGGCACCAGAAGAAACTTGGTTGTTCGAAATATCGAACTATAACATAGAGTATTTCGAACTTACTTTTCAAAATATGAAGAATATCTCACTTTGATAATCCCTGCACATTCTATTTGTAATTTTGAAATGATTTGTTCGATATTAAAAACAAAAAGGTCGCTTATACGTTACAGGGTTACCCACAAAGGATGAGACTGAGCAGAATCTATGAATTTTGTAAATTTTCTTTCTTTGCAATCTCATTTAGCGCACAATTTAAAGACTATATTTAAAGCAGAAGACGAAATAAAATCTTTAAATCTTTATATTTCAATAATTCAAAGATTTTGAAGATACATATTAGTAACCCTGTTTATTGATGATTTAACCTGTCTTTGTTGTCGTCTTTACTTTTTAGATTAAATGTATGCTTCTGTATTTCTGTGTATCTAACCACCATTATAATATTAAATTATAAAAACATATTAATTTTTTTTGAAAATTTAAGTTACCGAGAGAAAATGGGGGGGGGGGAAATATGTTTTCTGTCAACGTCACGTGACTCTCCATTTATTGAGTTACATGTGGATCAGGAGGGCTGGGATGGCAGGACACAACAATTTCTTCGTCCGAGCCACATTGAATTTTAAAACTTTAATTTTTTTGAAATTAATTTTTTTTCGATTTACGCAAATTTAGTATTTCATTTATACCCTAAAGTTGCTACCCTAAAGTATTCGGAGGTGGCTCGGATAAGAAAACGAGGAGACTGAGGCTCGGAAGAAGAAACAAGGGCAACGTTTGAATAGGCCTTGAAATTACCCCTACAGTCAAATAATAGCAACGGCCACGAATTTTCAAAAAAAATTAAAAATATAAATTTTTGGAAAAGACGTAATTGTCAATTTATGGTTGGAGAAAAACTAAGTTTTTGTCCATCGATTACTTGGATTAGGGTCGAAAGGTCTAAATAGTCTGACTTTTTTAATAAAACTCTTAAATAGTCTGACTTTTTAAATAAAACTCTTAAATAGTCTGACTTTTTAAATAAAACTCTTAAATAGTCTGACTTTTTTAATAAAACTCTTAAATAGTCTGACTTTTTAAATAAAACTCTTAAATAGTCTGACTTTTTTAATAAAACTCTTAAATAGTCTGACTTTTTTAATAAAACTCTTAAATAGTTTGACTTTTTTAATAAAACTCTGACAGAAATGATTGTTTTTTCTCCAACTAAAGGTGTTCCTAAAGGGTTTGAGAATGCCGCCACCATATGTGCCGAGAAAGTAATCAGACATGTAGGAGTGAAAATAGAGATAATCAGTGTCATCCAAAAAATATCTGAACAGAAATTATATTGTATATATATATATATTGTGTGTCTAGTGTAAAATGTAGATTTATATATTTGTATTTCAGTTTAGGTTTTGTAAGTCTAACAAAATTGTCTTTAGTAATTTTTTTTATTAACGGTTATTTTCATTCGTTTTTATTTATTATTCGTTTGCACTTTCCGGAATTTTCTAGAAACTTCCGATGGTTGGGAAACCGTGGTCCAACCTTACCTTTGTTTAGCAGCATGCTTAAACTGTTTATGGTAATAATTGATAACACACACACCATCGGCCTCACTGTCAGCCAGATAGCCTAGAGAAAAGTTGGAAATGATACGGTGGTCGGCGTTTATATCAAAATAATGAAGACGACTTTTTTATTTAAGTTTTGGTTGTTAACCAGCCTTTTCCGAATTGCAAGTATACAAGTAATCAAAGAAAAGGTGATGAGCTTCTCTTTACTTCCATATTTATGTAACCATGCTATTTACAGCTTGATTTAAATCAAAAATTTAAATCGAAAGTCGTCTTCATAGTATTGATATATGCGATTTGATATATGACTGTAGGATTTTGAATTCTTAAGTTTTTTGGAATTTAGGGGGCTTCACAAAAATTCACAAAGTTAAACATTGCAAAATATTATTCTTTTTAGATTTATGTATGTATTAGAATGAATAAAAACAATTTCTAGAGGTCTGCACTATGCACAATGCAATGCATAAAAGAGTAAAATTGGTAGAAAAGACGACATTCATGAACATCTTTGGTTTTACCTGGAAGATCACTTCGAACCCTAGTCCAGAGTAGCGGAGGGATTCTTCTAGTTGGGGGTAAATGGTACTGGTAAATATCATCCAATACCTTAAAAATAAAGAAATTAATCATGAAATATCCTATCAATGAAATGTCCTAACAATGAAATGTTTTATCAATGAAATGTCCTAATAATGAAATTTCCTTTCAATGAAATGTCCTATCAATGAAATGTCCTATCAATGAAATGTCCAATCAATGAAATGTCCCAACAATAAATATCCTATCTATGAAATGTTCTAACAATGAAATGTCCTTTAGATGCAATGTCCTATCAATGAAATGTCCTAACAATGAAATTTCCTATCAATGAAATGTCCAATCAATGAAATGTCCCAACAATAAATATCCTATCTATGAATTGTCCTAACAATGAAATGTCTTATCTATGAAATGTCTTATCAATGAAATATCCTTGAAATGAAATGTCCTATCAATGAAATGTCCTATCAATAAAATGTCCTATCAATAAAATGTCCTTTAAATGAAATGTCCTAACAATGAAATGTTCTATCAATGAAATATCCTAACAATGTTTTTCCTATCAATGAAATGTCCTATCAATAAAATGTCCAATCAATGAAATGTCCCAACAATAAATATCCTATCTATGAAATGTCCAAACAATGAAATGTCCTTTAGATGCAATGTCCTATCAAGGAAATGTCCTAACAATGAAATTTCCTATCAATGAAATGTCCCAACAATAAATATCCTATCTATGAAATGTCCAAACAATGAAATGTCCTTTAGATGCAATATCCTATCAAGGAAATGTCCTAACATCGAAATTTCCTATCAATGAAATGTCCTATCAATGAAATGTCCTATCTATGAAATGTCCCTACAATAAATATCCTATCTATGGAATGTCCTAACAATGAAATGTCCTTTAAATGAAATTTCCTATCTATGAAATGTTCAATTAATGAAATGTCCTATCAATGAAATGTTATATCAATGAAATTTCCTGACAGTGAAATGACTTATCTTTGAAATGTCCTTTCAAAGAAATGTCCTATCTATAAAATGTCCTCTCTATGAAATGTCCTGTGTATAAAATGTCCTATTTATATGTAAAAACGTGTCAATTCTCTACCTTATCATCAAGTGAGATAAAATCTTCTATTTCTGGTTCAGAAACTCCATTTTTAGATGCTGTCACATATGCTAATGCGTGAGAAACCAGCATCCAGCCGTGCTAAAAACAATTGAAATACAGTACAGTGAGACACCAGAATAAGAAAACTTATTTTTTTAATTTTAGATCGAGTTCAATTGGCATAAAACTCTGCAATTTTGCAGTGTTCAAACATCAATTTTCGCACCCATCTTCTATTAAAACAATTTCTCTTTTTATACATTGTAAAACAATAAAGAAAAATATTCGCGGATTTCTAAAATAATTTCGTGATGTTCAAAATTCGATTACAATCGAATTTTGTTGGATGCAAATTTTTGAAATTTGTATCATCCATAAGTACATTTCTTGGGGTCATGTTAGGTCCCGTAAAAAATTTGGTCCCGATCGGTTCAGCCGTTTTTACGTTTATTTGATACAAAGAAACAAACAAACACCCAAATAGACAAGCAAAGTATATCTATAGAAGTTGGCTTTCAAGCTGCTGGTAAACTATTTGCTTCATAACACATTAAATATCGTCCTTTTCTTCCACAGATTTTTGGGTATCACTGTATGTTACCTATTTGCTTTATAAAAAATTAGATGAAAATAATATTATTTAGATATCGTCATACTTGCTCTTCCACAGCTTTTTGGATATTACTGTATGTTTGCTCCAACGAGGTTATAGTGTATAGAGTGATGATGTACGCTAATCCTTTACTAATTGTATAGGCCATGAACTATACCGAGAGCGTAGTGCATATTTTTTTATTATAAGTTGATTCCGGCCTAACCTATAGTATATCGATATTAGTAAACAGTCGTAAGTGTACAGTACAGCTAACTGATCATCCCCCCTGGTTCGCTCCAATCTAATGAATGTAAGTATTCTGAATGTGAGGGATAAACGGTTTGTAAACTGTGCATGTATTAGAACTGCTGGAACCTAGTTTTATCAAAACAATAACACAGAAAGTCAACAATTCGGTCAAAAATCGTAAACTTTGCCAAAAAAAATGTAATCCCCCTAACCCCCCACCCCATGGCATCCCATCTATATATAAATTTAGCTTGTCTGTCTGTCTGGGTGTTTGTCTGTTTGTTTGTTTGTTTGTATCCAATAAACGTCAAAACGGCTAAACCGATCGGGCCCAAATTTTTTGTGGGACATCACTTGACCCCAGAGAAGGTTAATGAATGAGCAAATTTTAAAAAATTTGTTTTTAAAAGTTTTTTTTTGTAAAATTTTGAAAATGCGCGAAAAAATATTTAGAAATCCGCAAACTTTTTTGTTTGTTTTTGTTTTATACTGTACAAAGAGAAGATGCTCACAGATAAAGCCACATATAAAAGTTGAAATAGAAATTGGGCGCGAGCGCTCTAAAAGCCTAGTTTTTTAAATTCCTCATATACGATTCAATTATATTTTTGAGTTTTGCTACAATTTGTTCATGTTCATTAAAAAAGTACAATTTGTCCATGTTCATTAGAAAAGTACAATTTGTTCATGTTCATTAAAAAAGTACAATTTGTTCATGTTCATTAGAAAAGTACAATTTGTTCATGTTCATTAGAAATGTACCTTGTTTTCAACCCGTTGGAACAACTGAAACACACTGTCTTGAACATTGGTCATTAGAACTGTTTTCTCAGGTTCAAAATAACTCTTCCATCTAAAAGTAAACCTTGCATGAAAACTCAGACGAAGAATCTGATTGCTCGTGTATTTTTCTTATCCAATTACATATTTGAAACCTGCGGCCGAATTTGAAGAATTTTAACCGCGTCGGACGCGGTTTTAACATGGTATGGTTCAGCTAGATATTTGTGTGTTAAGTGTTTCGAGATTTGAGCCGGCGCACAATTGGAACCGGTTTTTAAGCAGTTCAGCGGAGCACTTCAGATTCTTTAAATTCGGCCTCAGATATTGTAGACATTTGGAATCAATAAGTCAAAGTTAGAAATTTTAAAGATCGTCCATCAGATCACAAAGATATAAGGATTGTAAAATTAGAGTTTGAATACAGGATGTCCCAAAAAACATGGGAATTCAGTGAAGAATTCGATATCGTCTTTGTTATGAATTAGCATTGTAATATCTAATTTCAGAAGCCATAATATTTTTATGTCTGCTAGAGTTTATTTTATGAAAAGGGTAAAAGACTGTAAAGATGGGTCTATAATGTCTCCGCAAGATGAACAGCGAAGACGGACAAGTTTACTCTGTTAGTATACTGCAGTTTTCTTGTTTTACTAAGTACAACCGTATGCAGTCAAAACATAAATAAACAAAATGTAAACATAGCAGACGAAACTCTTACAGCTTTCTCAGTAGGTACAGGGTGTCCCACGAAACATGACAATAGGAAGACGACTTGAAAGTCGTCTTTGGTATTTGAATTTATTTGTGACAATTAGTCTTCTATCTACTTTAACATGTATGATTCTTGAAACAATTATCACATAATTCTCCTAGCCCTGGCATTTCCAAAAAGTGGTCTGCGTTTTTTGTGCTTTCAATATTACCTGAGATATAAAGAGTTTGGTTCAGATTTCAATTTTGTTAAATAAAAGCAAAATTGTCGAAATCTGAACGAAATTCTTCATATCTCGGGCAATATTGAAAGCACAAAAAAGGCAGACCACATTTTGGAAATGGCAGGACAAGGGAAATTTTTTGATTATTATCTTTAGAAATTTACTTCTAAAATTAGGTTGACAAATAAACGCAGCAAATTATATCAAAAATCAAGACGACATTCAAGTCGTCCTGCATACTGTCATGTTTCGTGGGACACCCTGTATCACTATACTAAATCAAAGCATTATCTAAAAAGACGATATCGAATTCGTCACTAAATTCCCATGTTTATTGGGACACCCTGTAGATTAAAACGTTACTTTATGTGAACTAACCTGCAAACCTCCTGCAGAACAAGTTTGCAAAAAATTGGCAAAGTGCAATGATCCAAAGCATTCGCAACTACTCTCCACTAAAAAATTTTTTTTAAAGAAGCTAAAGACATAATTTCAAGTGACCCTCCATTTGTCGTTTTTTCTTATAAGGAAATGCTTTGGTACACAAAATTTCTTCCATGGTTTCTGCAATAAGAAAACCGCAACTTTATCTAATATAGTAAGTCTTTATTCCCTTAAAAGTGCATTAAAATGGCCCTTTATTTTAAGACGTCCATCACGATTCACAACCGTACCCGTTAATGGGGAAAATGTACAATGATAAACAATTTGGAGCGAACAAATTCTGCGGTATATAAAATTGATAAATGTATAATTGTGGCGGTTAAAAGTGATGTAAATCTTGTATTTCACGCGGTTGAAAAGTATAACAAAACTTATTTATTCCACTGGTTCATGATTTATTTCTTATTTTAAACTGCAACGGGAAGCAATTCTCAACCGGTACCGATTTTTTTTCTTCATTATATATAATTAGAAAATCGTTTATTCTAGCGTGAAATTATTTAATTATTACCATTTGTTTTTAAATTGAAGTAGTTCCTTGAAAAAAAAAAGTCTACAATACCTTCATCAAGTCAAGTTAACCTGGTAATTATTAAGACAAGTTAACCTGGTAATTATTAAGAGTCCTCCCCGCACTTGTCATCCAGAGTTTCATAACCCTCCAGGCCAGCTCAGAGCCAAGTGCGGTCACCTCAAGAAACTGATTGTCGTCTTCTATCATCGCGCGCAGAAATTTCAAATCCTTAATACAAAATATGAATTTTACATTATAATGCGTTGTTTTTTGTTGACGAGTCTTTAAATTAGAATTAGAAAGATTGCTATTATTGTAACTGTTATAATTACTCCAAACCATTGTATTCATACAGTTACAAAATTTCCAATTCTCGAGAACTTCTTTAATTAAAACACTCCACACAGACAATGGTAAAGCAGCTATATATGTATAAAAATGATTATCAATGTTTTCTATAGAATTAGGAGCATGAAATGTCTCAAACTGAAAAGCACGTGTATGTTTGTGGTTTAAGTTAAACTAGCTGAAGTTCCCGGCGATGCCCGTGGAATTTAAAACAAACAAAAAATTTGGATAGCCTTAAAAAACTTCAGCCTATATTTGGTCCAGCCGTTTGGCCAGCTTTAGCTAACATATATGAATAAATATGTGTATATATATGTCAAAAGAGCTTTCTTATAAAGATTTGATAATTGGCGAAATCTGAATAAATGAAAAACTAGAAGAAGTTGAACTCGGTAGATTATGCACTCGAGTTCAACTAGAAAACCATAGTTTATCTACTGCAAAATGATTAGCGCGCCAGAATGTGAATATTTCAGTACATAAACATTATTTCGAATTTTATACATTTAGAACCAGAAAACTGTAGAATAGGAAGACGACATTAAAGCACTACTGAAATGCATATAATGTGGTTACAAAGCAAATAGCGCAATAAGTTATTAAATCACTTTTTACGTAAAATGGTTCCGTTTATGTTGCACAATTGCTGTCCTCCCTGTTAATTGGAATATCTAAACCAATGACTTGAGTTTAGAAGTCGACTTTCTATTCTAGGGTTTGTTTTACCTGCATTAACGCCGGGTTCCCTTCTTCATAAGTACAAGATACAACAATCTTACAGTGATCAGGGATCTTTAGAGGAAGCCAGGACATCTTGTTTGCATCCTAGAACACACAAAGTAACAGAATAAAAAGAGGAAGCCAGGACATCTTGTTTACATCCTAGAACACACAAAGTAACAGAATAAAAAAAGGGAAACCATGACATCTTGTTTGCATCCTAGAACACCCAAAGTAACAGATTAAAAAGAGAAGACAGGACATCTTGTTTGCATCCTAGAACACACAAAGTAACAGATTAAAAAGGGGAAGCCAGGACATCTTGTTGCGTCCTAGAACACACAAAGTAACAGATTAAAAAGAGAAGACAGGACATCTTGTTTGCATCCTAGAACACACAAAGTAACAGAATAAAAAATGGAAGCCATGACATCTTCTTTGCATCCTAGAACACCCAAAGTAACAGATTAAAAAGAGAGGACAGGACATCTTGTTTGCGTCCTAGAACACACAAAGTAACAGAATAAAAAGGGGAAGCCAGGACATCTTGTTTGCATCCTAGAACACACAAAGTAACAATGAAAAGAGGAAGCCATGACATCTTGTTTGCATCCTAGAACACACAAAGTAACAGATTTTAAAAAATCATAATAGCCCAAAAGTATATCAATATAAATGTAAGATTTTTTAAAAATTATTTATTTAAAAAATTAATGAAGAGTCTGTTTAATTCAAAAGTCAATTAAAAAAAGAAATCCATGTATGTAAGAGCCAAAAAGTGTGAAAGTGACTCGATTTCAATAATAATTTTTTACAATTACAAGTTAAGAGAATATTTCTTTACAATTTGGCCTAAGGGACAAAGCATACGAGGAAGCCCGTGGTTAAGTAAAATTTTTAATTTCCTGAAAAAGTAGTTATACACAATATTATCGTCTTTTCAGATGAAAATGCAGAGCGGGAGATTATTTTACTGAATTGTACCAAGGGTCGTTAAGTAACTTAACATACCCGCACTGCCTGGGGTTTCATGGGTCAGCAATGTTGGTTAAAAAATACCTGAGATCCAGTCAGTTCATCCACAGAGTCCAAAAATATGAGAAGAGGACGTTCTGCAGTTGCAAGTTTCAGTAATTCTGAAAGTCAACAAAGTTGCACGTATAGTTCTTTTTGAAATGGAATATCTATGGTAGAAACTAGTTGTTCAGATTGCACTAAGCTATAAAATCTCAATAATCACAGCGATAACTTGTATTGTATTCAAATACAAAAGAGTAGTTTCTTAAACTACCAAAAAATTTAATTTCTAATTTTGAATTCCGACTTTAGATTGGTCAAGCTTATTATCATCTCTCTGAACGATGAATAATGAGGGAAAAGTCGGATTTTAAAAAGTTTAAATAATGATGTTGATTTAATCTTTGCTAGGCGACTAGGAATTTGGCTTTTAAACGTTCCTACCTCTGATATGTTCGACCTACCTTTAAGGAATGCAGTTACTGGAACCGTGTCATCGGGTATATCTTCAAAGGGAAGCATATAGGTATAGGAGATCTGCTGGCAAATAGATTTTAACAGTGGACCTATGGATAGATAGATAGATATAGTTATATAGGAGATCTGCTGGAAAATAGATTTTAACAGTGGACCTATGGATAGATAGATAGATATAGTTATATAGGAGATCTGCTGGAAAATAGATTTTAACAGTTAGTTAATTTATAGATAAATAAAGCGTTTAGCTGACATTCTTGATAATTAATAGCCAAAGAGGTTAGCTTTAGACCCAAGGGAAGAACCGGTCGTAACTAAAGCTCGAGTATATAAAAAGTTCGCAGTTTCTTATCTCAGCTTGATTACCTAAAGCAGTAGAGTTAGGTGTGGTTCCACAGAATCTGCACATTAACAGAGGAACGGCAGGGGCCAACCATTCCTTCAAGGATTGCAGAGCAGTCTTACTGAGCAGAGCAGATTTACCTGAACCACCAGCACCAAACAGTACAAAGGGCTAAACAAAGAATTTCTTGAAAAATTAAGTTTTTTGAAACAATGCTTCTATTGCACTTCGCGGCCCTTTATAATATCATACATAATTGCAGTATTTTGATGTGTTTTTTTTGGGGGGGGGGGAGGTTGAGATTTATAAAATGAAATTACATTCCAAACATTAACCCTATATCGGTTGCATGGGGGAAGTGCTTTTCCCCCCCCCTATGGTTTTTCTATATAACTTTGAAAATGCTTGAATTAGAACGCTTAAACTTCTTCACTTTTTCATCATCATAGTTGTGAACAAATTTTGCAAATTTTGATGCATGTAGGGTGGAGGACAGCCAAACGGCAGGTTGGTGTTGTAAAAACCAGTAATGATTAATAGTTTTTTTTTATTAATTAAGCTAAGGGCTAAAATTTATGTATTTGAAAATGTGTCATAATTGTCAAAACTAAAAATAATTAATTTTTAACTTTTGTTAAATCCTCCCTTACACCCTAACCATTAAAGTTTGAGGTCTAATTTATTTTAATGAGCAGGCCTTGAAAATTGGATGTTTCACACTCGATCCCCTTTCTCAACGCTTAGGGCAAAATCATAAGGGGGGTGCAAAACAACCGCCCCCCCCCCACAAATAATAGACAAAAATAGTCCAACCGGGATAGGAATAAGAAGTGAATACTTTTTTTGGTTAAAAGGCGAAAAACAAATTTGAAAAAAATCTTATTTATTTCATAATAATTCTTACCTTGGTCGAGGGACCGGTTATGTAATCTTTCATCTGAAATATTGGTTGATTTAAACAAATAAAAATTTAAATTTAACAATGTACTTAAAAATATTTAATCCAATAATATTAAACATTATAAACGGGTTCTATTTGGGGTGAGGGAGAGAGGGCTTGAGTAAAAACAGTATTTGTAGACTTATGGTTTAGTTGAAAGAAACATAATTAAGAAAATAATAAAAGCTGGAAAAGTTTTTCTTTTTCCAAGTTTTTATCAATGAAAAGTAATGGCTGTAGCATTATCATAAAACTTTTTTTAATAATCTTTTATCATGCAGTGCAACAAACAATATACAAAATAAATGCACTTCGATTAAAAAAGGGTTTTATTTTTTCTTCTCTTTTACATCTTATCAACTTACGACGAATTTTTCTAATGGCTACACGTCAAACTAAAGTAAAATTGTATTAAGATTAAAATCTTATATGTTGTATTGAAGAAATATCGAGAAGAACAAAAATATTTCAAAAATAGGGGAGTTATGAGCACACAAAGTCGGATTAGCAATGTTGCATAAAGGAACTGAGTTTTTGTCACAAACTCAAATTATCGAATCCCTATATCTTTACAATCTGATGATATAAATCTTGATATTTCAAACTTAGATTATTTGGTCTATCAGAATTCATATTTTGAAATATCAAAGGTCTACGACATTGGATAGCAAAGATATAAAGATTAGAAAAGTAGAGTTTGTGACAAAAACTCAGTTCCTTTAACCTTAAACTATATCAGAAATACTCTATTTTTTACATTTTTGTGGCGGAAATGTAAACATTGCAGTAGAAGATTATATGTTTACCTTTTTTAATTCCTCTTCTCTTCCATAGAAAACATCACAGTTGTTTTTACACTGAAATTATCATAATTTGTGAATTACATAATTCCAGTTATTTATTATATTATTTATTTTTATGTTATATGATGTAACCACTCTGTAACTATATTGTCGTATAAAATACTTGGTATAGATGCTGTAACCACTTTGTAGATATTTTGTCGTGCAATTTACCTGATGCAGATGCTGTAACAGCTTTGTAACTATTTTGTAGTGTAATTTACCTGATGTAGATACTGTAATAACTCTGTAACTGTTTTGTCGTGTAATTTACCTGATGCAGATGCTGTAATAAATCTGTAACTTTTTTGTCGAGTAATATACCTGATGCAGATGCTGTAATAACTCTGTAACTATTTTCCCCTGCGGACTATTATCCTCTTTTCTCATTGCTCTGACAACAATAAATATGTTATTTAGATCTTTTAGATTTTATTCGGACAACTAAAAGTCAATTCTTTTAGTTTTGCAAATTAGATGTTGTGGTATCTGGGAACCACAAAAACGTGCAATAAACTGGTATCTAAAATCTACACTTAATGAGATTTATACAAGTACTTAAACCTGTTTCTATCTATCATTTGTGTAACCTGTTGACATTGCAGATCGGGTTAGTCCTATTCCGCGGGCCTAACTCCTCATGCGCTGTCATATATTTGTAACCTGGCATTACAATACTTCAGCTATCTCCATATATCGAGATAGCCTTATATGTTTAAATGCACGTACATAAATAACACCCTAGTAATAAAATCATTCA